TGGATTATTTACCGTTTCTTGGCGCGTTAACTGCTGTGGTCATTAGTCCCATAAGTTTAGTGCATGTCATATGGCGGAAGGTGGCGGTGTTCCTCCCCAATGGATCGTGAGATCCGACGTCGACCTACACGACCTGACTTGTTGAGCTTTGTCGTCCATATACTCGTATCTCCCCCTGACGGACCCCTGCCCAGACGGCTCAAGTCATAAGCCTCCAACTCATCACTCGATATGTGTGGCAGTGTAGTACATATGAATGTAAGTGGGTGCATAAAGGAAGAGGAGTGGATAAGGATGAGGAAGGAAAGGACACACTTAGCCCGTTTGCTAGGGTATTGCTCCAGCTTTTGCCTAGTATTGATCGAAGAAACGCCGGAAAACTACCGATCAGAGCAGCCGGCCGCTAGGATTCTCTTCCAGACGCGACTGAATTCGACCTAACTACGAATTAAGTATTTATCTAATCGAGAATCAGCCTCCATAGGGACTCAAACCCTAGGACTTTCCAGTAAGGCAATGATACACTGCAAAGGCAAAGTGTATATTATATTTATGTAATTGAGCGTTTTCAGGAAGTACACTGAAGAAAGAAAAACACGTCAGTTCTGAAAGAAGCACGTACGACGGTGCGTTAAAATTTGATTAGCGGACTCATACAAGAGCTCTTATACGTTTCATTATAAAATGTATACCTGAGTGAGTGCTGTACAATGGTGATTGTTTTATACAAAAGTGCGTACCTTTGTTGATCTTCCAACAAGGCGTCCAATATCTGACATTATTTAATAATCCTTGAATAGTTAATCTTATATTAACTTATATTAACTTTCCTTACACTTGCCTCTTCATTTTTTAAGGACTTTGATAACTTTGTAATTTTAAATAATTTAATGATGATTGTAATCATTCAGACATTAAAATTCATTGCTTTTTTGCTATGAAATTAACACTTTCCTGATACTCTCCTCCCAACTTTTGATGCCAGTATGCTTCTACCCCTCAGACAGGACAAGAACCTAGGTCGGAGCGCAGTAATAACCGCTTTTGCTACAATATGTCTGCCATGGCGCCTGGAGAATTCGGATTCCCCAGACCGGGAACCACTTTTTTTGCACTGTTCGTAAAATAGTTCTGGTAATTAAAACGGTCCATATTAGTGTGCATTGATAACATTCTCTCACCGTGCTATTATATTTTTATGGGAGTGGAAATAATGTGTCATTTACATTGGAAGATCCATTTGAGAATATTCGCTTTATAAGGTGTACAAAGTGAATGAAGTGGATCGTACAGCGAACTCGAGCAAGTAAAGGACGGGAGTATAATAGAGTACGTACGGGTAATGTTTGAACTTACGTCTTCATCTCGAAATCTTTGATATTCTTTAGTATTAATATTATATTATTTTCAGTAACGTGGACGTAATCTTAGAAGCCTTGTACTCTAAAATGCTTATTAGTAGGTAGTAATGTCCCATCAATAGTGGTACCACATGGTTTGCGCAGAGGGCTCTTGAAATTATTTCAGAGGGGGCGAATTTCAGGTTGAAAACTTCTCCCATATTTTTTGATACATCAAAAAGTATCTCTCGTGTTAGTTTGATGTTTAAAAATGTTTATTCATAATGATAATGGCCCATCATGCCCCTTCCTGCAGGTACGCCATTGAAAATATGTTTGATGGCGACCTCTTATTTATACAGCCGAGTACATCCCGGAAAACCGAGTACGTTGAGATCAAAACATCCAATACTGCATCTGACATTCGTATTTCAAAGAACAAGAATTCATTTACAATTACTGTAACTCTGCTGGAAACTTTCTGTATTGCATGCGTATTTGACTCTCCCGGGGAGTCATGTGTTAAACGATTTCCTTAGTACGACCTTTTGCATGAAAGGTATGATCTACTTTAATTGTGTTTTGTGGAGCACCCGCCTCCGTACACATTTCTTCCTCGAAGTGCAGTGAGTTTCAAAATTACAATTAAATTGAATATTTACAATTTTTTGATTGAAACAAGAATGACAAATACGCATATGCCAATATACTTGAGATAATGTTTTTCACTTATATCTAAATCTTTAATATTAAACAGCTATTTTAAAAAACCCTAAACAAAAAAATTTCCATCGTTCCGTTGTATTTCAACTTGCGTAACTTCCCTTCATTGCGAGATATTTTGTTTTTATTCTAATAACTATCACTTTTGAAAATTCCATTAAAACCGAAACAATGCAGTTTATATCATGTAATGAAGGAGATATCTCTTTTCTTTCTTACCCATACGAAGGAACTTCGTAAGAATAGAAAGTTATGTAATCGTGCACCGGAAAACAGCGAATTTTTGGCAGAAAACACTTATTACCAGGTCTTGGTAACAAATAAGTGGATAAATTCTGTATCTAAATGTAGAAATAATTTATCCAGAATGATGTAGCCAGAATCCATGTTTTGTGGCTTCTCGATACCGAAAAATCGATTGACGGCAAAACGTCTGTCTGTTCGTCTGTGTTTTCATCAGTTTTAATGCGTGCTCTACCGCCACACGGACAACTCAAATTTGTTGTTTGGGCATGTTGATCCAGGGATGTTTTCAACCATCAACCTGTTTATAAGCTAAAAGTTGCTAATTTTGTATCGTTTTTTGTTTATTTTAGCCGTTTCGCTAATTTTCTCTCTATCAATTTACATTTTATAATATTTAAATGATAATAAAATACCTATATTTATGAAGTGAATATCATCACTGTGCATAGAAAACAATAACCGTTCCGAAATTTCAATTCGCTTCGACGAGTGAAGACCTAGTTTAGGGACACTGTTCGAGAGAAAATATATAATGGCTTGGAAAAGGTTTTAGAAAATTCTACAAAATCGTTAATCTGAAAATACAAAGTGTTTAAATAAGAAATATTAATGAAATAATATTAATAATACCTAACATCTTGGGCCAAGCCCCCCTCATCACCTACCACCCCTTAGCCCTCATCACCTACCACTACCCCATAGCTCAGATCCTGGCTGTGCCCTTGACTTTCATAACTCTTCTTTAGTTGGCTTTTTCATAAACGGCGGATATCCGCTAATAACGTTTCAAGGATTACAGGCACGGAAACGAGCGTTGCAGGACATGACAGCAAATGAGTGCAACCTGGTATATTGGAATGGAATAAAAAGATGGGCAAAACGAGGTGTCCTTCATGTTGATTAGTGAAACATTACATAAAAGTTTTAGAAATAACATTTTCTATTTTTCAAAAATATTACCATAAAAAAGATTTCGTTTTCTATCTGGAGAGCTCCATAATTTATGTTTTTCTCTGAATCGCTTAATAATATTAACGCTGACATTTGTAAGGACATTATATCGGTTTTGGCAGTTATAGTTAAATATTTTTCTAAAATGATATTAGGTCCATCCATAGCATATGTAGTTCCAAAAATGAAACGATATGGTATTGCATGCAAAACTCAAAAAAGATGAAATATTTTTAGAAGGCGAACACATTTTAAATTAATTTATCCGTTCTTTCACTGGCAACTGGCTGGTAACGTCAGCAGATTTTTAGTGAATCTTGGGTCCCTCTTTATCTTCAGTTGGAATGATAGTTTGAGAGGTAATGTGAATTTATTTTCAATACAATACATTAAAACATAAAAGTAAATCGAGTGTTGTCTTTGTCTTCCCTATTGGTATTTATGCTGAGAGTGCTCTTTGTTGAGAATATTTCTTATTGCTTACAGTTTTGGAGAAAATTCTTGATATGACATGGTCAAGTTACAGAGTACAACTAATAGGGCATTGAGATGATTTTCTAGTATGTCAGTACCATTTAACATGGGAAATATAATCCGGGATTATATGTTAGACGGTCAATTTTAATGGTTTGGTATGAAGTTTGATTTGTTACGTTGGCTATTTTAACTTGAAACAAAATTGATATGTGTCAGAATTGCAGTCTACTCGATGTTATATACGTTGTAGCAAATGACGATAACGACTTCCTACGTCTACAACAACGTTTTGAGCCTTGGATCTGCGCACAATATTCTGGTTACATGAAGGCTGCGACATAATTGGAAAACTCCAAAGAACACTGTCTACGAAAACAGTAAATGAGTTATTTAATACTAATATTTTGAAAAACACACTTGTGCGTTTCCTCCATCTGAAATGACTCATCTTGCACATTGGCGACTCTTCAAAGTTTTCTCTCAACGGAGCTATGCAAATGACACCTAAAAATCTTCAAAATTACTGCTACAAGCAGTGATATGTTCAATTGCACTAGGGTAGAACTTGCTTCATATGGTGATAAATTGTTTTCTCGGACAGGAACCTTCTTTTTCAATGGATAGAAAAAGTTTCCTCACTTAAATCGGAATAAATATGTCTTCTTTTCTAGCCTGCAAGTGTTCAACCAATGTGTTCAGAGTCTTTCAAGACACCACTGCCGTGATCACCCTTCTTGCGGCTGTGGAATCACGGAAAAGCGGCTGAGACGAGGCAACTACATTCATCCATAAAAAGCGCTAGGATCGCTGAATGGCTTTTTGAGCAAGATACATATATTTCACATATATTTTTGATGGCTCGCTGGAGTGAAAGCTATCTACGAACAATACAGTACTAAGAACATTTTTGTGTTCCTGTCCAACAAAATCTCAAAACTCTTTTAGAAGTTTTACTCTCTCTATAAATATGTGAAAGTACCCAATATACGAGTATTTACTATTATTCTTTAAATATTAACAAGGATTGATTATTTCACGATGTGAACTGGCATGTATCATATGTGCATTACATCCAAGGAAAATAATATTCTTGTTCTTGCTGAAACCTTCCTCCACTTTGGTAAGAAATTCGTTTGAACATATGCCATTGACGTTCAGTGTCACACGTCCCTTCTGTGCTACGACGGCCGCACTCCAACGTCCGTCATTTGACGTCCGTGTGTCGCTGGCCCTAAGAGCAGTGTGTTGCGTTGCAGGGTGCAGGCAGAGGCGATGAGTCTTCCGTGGGCGCTGCGGCTGCTGCTGCCGCTGGCCGCGCTGCTGGCGGCCTTGCTGCAGGCGGCGCATGCGCAGGTGGTGGAGGCCAACGCCGGCGCCGGTGGGGGCGCCGTCTACGTCTCCAACGGCGGAGGTGGGCGCCGCCGAAAAATCCTTTCCCCTCTTGGCGAACCAATTTCGCCGGCTCTTTTAAAACTCCATCTTGGTTACCTAAAAATTCATCATTACGTTTAAACGAAAAAATGGATCGATTTTTGAGAAAATCTTGTTTTTATTATGTTTTATTATTGTGAATATGTCACTCAAAATTCCTAGAATTAAAAGAACAAATTTCATTTCATGAAAACAATCGCTATCTAATATTAAAATTGTAGGAAATCGCCGAAAAAATTCAAAGTTTTCGAATTTCTAAAAATTTAGCGGAAAAGGGACTTATGCCATCTTTATAAGTGTGTTTCATTCTATTCTTACAATAAATTTCAAGAAAAAAAATGGGGCAATTTTTGAGACAATTTTGAAAATGTACCATGGACTTTATGTAATGTACCCCAAAATTTTAAAAAATGTTTTTCAATATTGTAGAGATTCGAGTCAATATTGTCCAGATCGATTGGGGAATATTAATTTTAGAAAAATCCAACGAATAGTTTAGCGATGGTGTTGTTCACAGACGGTAAAAAACGATGGACGGACGCGTTGGTAAAATAAATCACGTTTTTCGGTACCAGGGGACCCCAAAACGTGTATTTCCGTTAAAATCTCGCAATCGAGATCCCACGGCATTACATAACGCCCTCTGTACAAAGTATATTATATTCGTACCTGTACCAGAAAGTAATATACCAATTGTATACTACGTATATTCCTCCATATGTAGATACGTATAAAAAGAAGTAAAAATATGATGTTACAAAATTTTAATATTGTAAATGTTAATATTTTTAATATGAAAGACTATTTCAATGTCCGAATACTATTTATCAGTCGATGTCTTCAATTTTTCGATCCATTCAAGCACTCCTCAAAAATCCTTTATCCTTTGTTTTCTACTGTCTTACGCACATTCCAGCGTATCGAGTAGAAAAATATTATATGTATTATATGGAAAAAAACTTTTGATCGAACTCACATTGATGTAATTATTCCAGGCATCAATTGACATATTATTACAGACATCATTTTTTTTCAGGCGGTGGAGACAAATACTATGGCCAATGGAGTATTGGAGATATGACATGTTACATTGCCAGGGACCGGGTCAATGGGGTTTTGAAAGTTGTTAAACAATGCAGAAATGGCTTTCTAGGTAAGATTGTTAAATAAAACTCCTTTTTGAAATAATGAATAGATATACAAGTATCTGTATACCAAATATATATTGCATTTAAAATAATTCACTTGGCCACTCGGCCTATCGGCCTCGTGCCGCAACTTTTCCTACTCGCAAAATAAAATGACTTTTACCACTCGAATCATAAATTACTATTATGCGTATCAGTTAGTCATAGAATGTTGTTATCCATTTCCTTAGGGAAGTTTTGCTGTGAATGCATTTCCACTTTTGCTTTGCAAACATGTTTAAATATAATACACTGAAGAGCCAAAAAATGGATACAGCAATGCGTTTTGAAATAAAGGGGTCTGGAACCAATCAGAATAAGGAGCTCCGGTCGGCAACGACTATATAAGACAACCAGAGTATGTTATAGTTGTTAGATTAGTGTACTATGGCAGGTAATCACGATTTAAGTGAGTTTGAACGTGGTGTTATAGTCGCCGCAAAAGAGATGGGGCATAGCATCTCCGAGGTCGCAATGAAATTTGGATTTTCCTGTACGACCATTTCACGAGTGTGTCGTGAATATAAGGAATACGATAAAACATTAAACCTCCGACATCGCTGCGACTGCAAAAAGATCGTGCAAGAAAGGGACTAACGACGACTGAGAAGAATCATCTCACGTGACAGAAGTACAACCCTTCCGCAAATTGAAACAGATTTCAATACTGGGATAGCAACAAGTGCCAGCGTGCGAACAATTCAATGAGACATTATAGAAAGGGGGTTTCGAAGCCGAAGGCTCACTCGTGTACCCTTGATACGTGCACGACACAAAGCTTTACACATCACCTGGGTCCGTCATCACCGACATTGGACTGTCGATAACTGGAAACACGTTGCCTGGTCTGACGAGTCTTGTTTCACATTGTTTCATGCGGATTTTCGAGTGTGACGACAACCTCATAAATCCATGGACCCTTCATGATAACAGGGGTCTGTTCAAACTGGTAGAAGCTCTGTGATGGTATGGGGCGTATGCTGTTGGAGTGATATGGGACCCCTGATACGTCTAGATACGACTCTAACAGGTGATACGTACGTAAGCATTTTGTCATCACCTGCACTCACTCATGTCCATTGTGCATCCCGACGGACTTGGACAATTCTAGCAGGACAATGCTACAGTCCACACGTTCAGAATTGCTACAGAGTGGCTCCAGGAACACTCTTCTGAATTTAAACATTTTCACAAGCCACCAAAATCCCCAGACACGAACATAATTGAGCATATCTGGGATGCCTTGCAACGTGCTGATCAGAATAGATCTTCTCTTACGAGTTACTAGTACTCTTACGAGTTTACGGATAACCCTGCAGAAATCATGGTGTCAGTTACCTCCAGCATTACTTCAGACATTAGTCGATTCCATGCCACGTCGTATTGTGGCACTTCGGTGTGCTCGCAGGGTCCCTAAACAATATTAGGCATGTGTACCGTTTTTTTTGGTTATTCTATGTTGTTGATACCATTCTGGATAATTTTAATGAATTGTCAGTTTATGAAATAGGTGGAAAGATAGGTATTGATTTATTTCAATTGATTTAACAAAAATATAAAAGCTCTTTGACAATTGTATAATTTTGGATGTTGAAACAATTTTTATATCAAGTAATTAAATAATAATAATAATAATAATAATAATAATAATAATAATAATAATAATAATAAAATGTCATCCCAGCCACAATCCGTTCTTTTATTTCTTCTTCCATTGTATTCTTAATGTTGACTATTCTAACCAAGGTATTCAAATGAGTGCAAATTTTCATTTTGCAAGTCATTCACAATAACGTTTGATTTCTTAAACTTTTTTAGGAATTATTTCATGTACATTGTCTCAGAGGCATTTATAATTAAGCTTGCTTACTTCGAATCATCATTCAGCTGATGGAATGTTGAGATCAACGCCTGCATCGATCTCGTCCAAATTAATACATCGTCAGCATACGCCAGGGTTAAGTATTGATAGTGTTGATGACGTTTTTCATTTATTGATGGTGTTAAAAAATACCAAATACGTAAACAGGATGTAAACAGGACCAACATGTAAACAGGAAGGAACCAAATATACTACAGTTTGATCTTGTATATAAACTTAAGGGCTACGGCATGGTTGGTAGACCTAGAATGAAGTGATCAGAGCAGTTCTGAGTCTTGGAGACAATTGGCTCCCAATCCTTGTTAAGGAAGAAGAAGAAGAAGAAGAAGAAGAAGAAGAAGAAGAAGAAGAAGAAGAAGAAAAAGAAAAGAAGTCAGCACACGCACAAATCTGATCAATTTACTAGAAATAGTACCCCTATCATCTAGTTTCTTCAGTATTCCATCTATTACGATGCTAAAAAGGAGCGCCGAGGGGGGTCGCCTTGTCTTACACCTGAATTTATTTCTAAAATTTGTGAGTAGTCGTTGTTTATGCATACCTTGCCCTTGGTGTTTTTTAATGTTATTTTAACTAGTCTGATAATTTTGGTAGGTACTTCCTGTTCAATAAGGCTATTATATATTGCAGATCTCTTAAGTCTGTCAAAAGCTTGTTTGAAGTCTATGAACACATTGTGTTCGATACCGATATTATATTCGTAACACTTCATAGATCTGTTTAACTATATGGATACTATTGTTGAGTGATTAGGGCGCAAGTCCATTTGAAAATCCCCCAATTTGGGTTCTATCATTTCACTTACCCTGTTTTATATCAGAGAAAGAAATATTATGTATGTTATATTCTGAAGGATAATACCACACATTTTTGGTCTCTCTTTTTATAAATTGGACATATAATTCCTTCTAACCATTCCTCAAGTATTTATTCATCTATCCATATATTTTTAAATCATATTATTTATTGCTCTAGTAAAATGTTCCCTCTAGCTTTTAGCAGTTCTGCTACGAAACTATCTATATCTGGAGTTTTATTTCTTTTCATTTTCGTTGTTACTTCAGTTCCTTCTCTATGTGTGGGCATGTATGGGTGTATATCTCACCCTTCAGTTTGTTCAATGTTTTCTTGATGAGGTTGAATAGAACCTACTTTCTCAGATTTCCTTGTAAATCTCAACCTCCGAATTCCCTTACGACTTAGCTGTGTAGTTTTTTTATTTCTTTGTAAAACTTCCTATATTCATTCTTTTTCCTCGCTTTTTCTATTTCTGACATTCTATTCTCAACCCATAATATTTTCTTCCTTCAGTATAGTTTCCTGTGTTATTTCTCGTTAATGTTATATTATTCCATAGATGCTCTAGTTCTTATATTTAGATATTTTTGTCTCGCCTTATTACTATCCTTGGCTGATTTCATAAATTCTTGATCCCACCATTCGTTTCATCTCCCTTTCGCTCTTCCAAATGCCTCATTGGAGGCCTATTCTTTCTGGTTTTTAATTAAAATTGATAGTAATTTTAATAACTAAGTATAACCTTCCTAGAAGCAGAGCTGCATATTAATGTGCAATACTTCAGAAGTAACTGTTTTGTTTTTAATGTAAATTTTCAGTTTCATAAACTTAAACTATAAAATTGCACAGGATGGTTAACTGCTACATTTAAATAATTCATATATTGTTACATTAGTACCAATGCTGGTGTATAATTTCAATACAAAATGAGTAAATAAATTAATAAATATTAAAATGAGTAAATAAGTTAATAAATTTGAACTACATAATGTTCAAATATAATCTCTTAAATAGGTTTTTTTAATGAAATGCCAAAAATGTGACAGAGAATGTATTCAGTCTATTATAAACACGAATACGTAGATGTCACAAGTTGTTAAGTTTATCGAGAATTGACCTTAAAGTAATTGAATTGATATTTTATTACAAATATGCTTAAAATACAACGAACAGAAATATATAATTATAAAACAAATGTACAAAATGTCATTATTTGGCAAATTATCTTTGCTTTTAAATACTTTTTTCATATTAATGTCCAACTTTTTTTTTTCCTTAAGAAAAAAATATATTTGATTGGGCCTTCAATCAAGAATGCACTACTTTCTTAACATCGTGGTCGCTCTCTAATAGCCTTCCTCTCAAAGCGCCCTTTATGACGCCAGACACGTGATAATCAGAAAGAGCAAAATCCGAGCTGTACAGGAGTCGCTTAGGCTCTTACGTTTAGGGCCTGAAATTGGAGTGTGGAGACGAGCGTTGTCGTGAAGGACAATGCCTTGTGATAGGTCTTTGAGGCGGCTTCTTATTTTCTTCTGGTTTTATCTTCTCTTCTAACATTGTTAATTATAACACTGTTAATTGTTTCGCACCTTTCCTGATGTTGCTCCAAAATCACTCATTAATAGCCCAGAAGAGATACAAAACTACCTTGAACAGAAAGTTGAAAGGAAATTTATGGAACGACCGGGGCATTGCACGTCAATGACTGATGACCGTCACTTTTTAAAGGTATCAACCCACTCGAACATTCTTCTTTCACTAGAACAACTGTCGCCATACCTTTCCTTAATACTTCAATGCATTTCTCGAACTATTATGCTCTCTGACTTCAAAAATTGTATTACTGCTCTTCTACGGTGCTCATAGATAAAGTCACCGACATTTTATTTCAACTGCCCATTGCTTTGCATGGGTTGTCTGTGTTGTTTTGTCAATATATTCTCAAATCATGTACCTTTCCTTCAGTGGTGTTTCAAATGCTTGGAGTGTTCAGTTCGTATAATATTGTAAATTTTCTTTTTGGTTCACCTTCGTAATTATGATTGCTTCTTACATATTTAATGAACTATAAATTGAATAATATTACTTCCTTTTAAGTTAAATACTATCTTACATGTATCTTCAAAAACCTTTTTTTTATAGGTGCCTACCATGATATGACACCGGAAGAAGAAGCAATGATAGATTCTGAGATTAAAAGACTAGAGGAACAAAAAAGAATAATGCAAGAAAAGATAGCAGAAAGCAATGCTATTTTGCAAAGTACTATGCGTTCAATGAATAATCAGATACAAAGAAGCATGCAAGGATTTAATAATTACATGCATGAAATGCAACAGATGATGCAACAGCAGTTTCAGAATGCATTTGGTTCATTTGGATGAACGAATTTTGTCTTCAATAATTTTCAACAAGCAGTAAAATCTGCTGAAGCTTGAAATACATTTAATTTTCGATTCCTGTTATTTCATATGCCTGTATTGATATGTATTGCTTCCTTCCCTTTCTCTTTTTCTTAATAGATTTCAAGATTAGAATTTCTCAATACCTTTCACTAAAAGTATGTTAAACGTTTAAATTAAATTACATTGTTAAATACTTAGGAAATGATTCAAGTGTTCAAAAATGAAGCTTTTAAAATATAGGCAATAAACTCAAACTGAAACATTTTTACTTTTTAATAAAGTCTACACTATTCAAATACCTTAACAATATTCTCTTATGAAGAATCGTTCCTAAGTGGAACTCTCCTTTCAAGAATTATTCCATCATTGAAAATGTAAATAACATAAATAAAGTAAATAAAAATTAATGTTTCCCATTATTTGACAAGCAAAAATATTTACAGAAACGTTAAATTCACTTTAAAAGTGCCCCCCCCCCCCCAGAAAATGCTTGGTAACATGTAATGAGGAAAGAATTAGTGGTATTAGAAAATGGCACAGACTTTCGTGCTAGTTTGTTCTCCTTTCTTTGAGTCGGGACTAACTTCTCGATTTTACCTCACCGTCCGCCTTGTATTGCCTCAAGGATCTAACGCAGCCTAAAGAACCTCCCGCGAAATTTACACCGCCCCTGGGGATAATTCCGAAAGAAGTCCTTTCTCGTGATTCCTGATCAATTGATTGACTAGTGATTCCGGGCGCGTCAACTGCTAAGGGCATCAATCCCGTAAGTGTTGTGCATGTTTTACTCGGGAGGTGGCAGTGATTTTCCCCTGCTGGAGGATGAGATGCGGCGCGGACCTACTTCATGTCGGCTAGCGGTGTTTTCTCCAACCAGCTATCTCAAGCAGCATGGTTGTGCTCCAGCCGGGACAAGATCTCATCTCTCGACATGTGTGTTAATGTAGTGCATGTAATTGTAAGTGTGTGTAAGTAAGGGGTGAGGATAAGGCAAGGAAGAGGAAGGAAATATCGCGCTCTGCCCGTGGCCCCTTTGTTAGGGTATTGCTCTGGCATTCGCATGATGTTGATTAGATAAGCCACGGAAAACGACCGTGAGCCGACCGCTAGAATTCTCCTCCAACGGCTGAACTCGGCCTATGTATCTAGTGTCGAAATTCCTGCCATGTAAACGGTCTATTAGCTGGTCACGTCTAATACAATAATGCGAACAATCTCGTTCCTCCCAAAAGAATAAAGTCACAGCATACGTATTTATACAGTAGCGCAGCACCGAGTTAAATGCTTTACGACGACTCGTTGGTCAGCGACTCTAGCGATCCGCACGGCGACCCATGAACACTATGCTGCCTTACAATTCGTAATACAGCATCGTTCTGCGAACTTTAACCAAAAAGTAAAAGCTTCTTCCTTATGCTTACAACTAAAACACAATGTGAAGTAGAAGTTTTAAATACTTTTTAAGGGGAAAAAATTAATCTAATGAATGTTGTTCATTGACAGTGAATAGTGGAATAGTGAGGAAGAACAAGTATTTATATACTATTCATGAAAATGTCTAGAAATATAGGTAATCTAAGTAGTAAATAATGACGCAATAACATTTCTTTCTTTAACAGGAGCTAATAACGAATTTTCGTCTTTCCTTTCTAGGTCTATTGGACAAGTAAAACTTATAACTCAGGGTTCATTCCTTCATTGTTGCAAAACATTGGGCTCCTTCTCATGCATTATTATTAATGAGTTAACAGGGAAAGTATACTAATTCAGTTGGATCATATCAAATATGTCCCGATATATGTCAAATGTAAGGTTAAACGTTGGTTCGATTTAATTGGACATGTTATTTAATGACCTGTCCTTGAAATCCTAGGAATAAAATACGAGGTCAAGAAATTTCTTTTTTTTAAGTTTTTAAATGTTGAGCTGAGCATGCCGAGATGGCCCCTTGTTTTGCTTCTGGACGTAAATGTTACTTCACTATGCGCACGTTTTTTTGAACTCCTTTAGCTTATAATGGTAAGAGTAGAAGTTAGAGCGAGTTACTATTTTGTTAGCAATGCAGAAAAATCATACTTGCAATTCGTTTGAATTCGAGCGCAATTCCTTAGAACATAACGACGATATGGTCTTGCATTACTATTTCAATGTCAGCATCGCCTCATCTGCGATGGAGTCTACGACTTCGTACACTTGGGCGTGTAGAATTTATTAGTTTTGTAATTAAATTGTTCGAAAGGTGAAGGAAGAGACTTACAATTCCATTTAAGTTATTATTTAAAACTAAATAATCATATACTAACTGAATATTACCCGTCATTACATATTAATTATCTGTGAGGTAAACAAAACTTTACCCTCTTCGCGATATTGTCAAGGTCGGAGAGTTACTAGTAACAAAAATGAAAATACTCTGTTAAATTGAGTCAATCAGTGCCAGAGTTGCCTAACCGACTATGTTGTGAAGGCACTTTCCTCTACAGTATGACTCTAAACCATCAGTTGTTTAAGTAACAAAAAGTTTTTTAATCGTTGTGAATGAATGGTTTATTGACACAAAATGTCTGTTTGAGCCAATTCATTCACGTTCAGAGCCATTCGTCATCAGAGCCAAACTTCATACGAATAAGTGACTTCACGACACCGTGGGTTAGGCAGCTGTAGAAATGAACCTCAATTCCTTTTTAATTAGTATATATTAATATTTTTTCTTAATTGAAATGTGAGAATAAACGAGAAATGCATAAATATATCTGAGAAAAAATGGTAGTATTTAAAAATTTAATCTAGAACATTCTTCTATAATACATATTTTATATTATCATGTCAAATATTAAATACTAGTTAAACGTAGCGTCGCCGACGTTAACTGTTTTAAAAGTTTTTTATGTGTTGAAACTTTCGAAGTATCATGCATAGCTTTTTTCAAATAACTTCTTACGGTCTCTGACATTGAACATACTAATGACTTGCAGTAGCTGATGTTATTCTTCCGTTCAAAAATTTCCAACGCCTTAATTAAAATAGTAATATTGCATTTTCAAAATTGTAATCGCCGTAAAACGTACTCACGTGGTGATGCGAATAGTTAGAATTTAGTTCAGTTACATTTTTTACGCTTTGTTTGCTGATATGCACAAAAGTGCACATAAAAGATCTGTAAGCAGTTCTTCAGATATATTCTCTAATCCTAATTCAAGTTCGCCCTTAATTAGTTCCGAAAATTTTGTCACAAAATCTTCTATAGTTCCATTTGATTTGTCCTCCCTATGTGCACGCTTAAGAATGTAAACGTACGAACGAATAAACGAATACGCATGTGCTTCCGTTCTTTAACATTACTGAAAATTCTGATTTTCTCCGTATCCACTTGACGTTCATCGAGTTTAATAAGTTCCAATACTGTACTGTAACAGCACAAAGCTAGTATTAATTATTTTTTAGTATAAAAAGAAGGCAGTTCAGCAGGCGGGGAAAATGAAGTTATTTTCAAATTCAGACCTCGCTATGCGAAACGCCGAGAAACATCACTGCGAGGAATTGTGCGCTGACAAGGGAACGTTTGCGTTGCCGAGCTGCTAATCCGGGCATCACCTTTGTGAAGCCCAGGCACTGAAGGGAAAGGTCGTGAAGTCAGTGGGTCGGTGTGCGGTATGTGAGTGAGCAGAGCAGGGCCCCGCGTCACGGACCATTTCAGGAAGTCGCCGTTAGGTGGCGCCAGCAACCGGGAAAGGCCAAGGTCACTGGACCGTCCATAATAATAATAATAATAATAATAATAATAATAATAATAATAATAATAATAATAATATATTTATTTTGGCCACGATTAGCGTCTTTGCCAGGTGGTAGCCAATTAATTACACTGATAATGAAACAACTGATACAAATGAAAATGAAGTGACATTAAATATTTCATAATAAATACAATGAAAACGAACAATGAAGTAATAATAAATATAATGTATTACCTAGAACCGTGTATACCCCAGCATAGCAAGAAAGCCTCCATTTCACGCGTACACATGTGAAACTCAGACTCTCTGTGCACACACCCAAACACGCACGCACTACGCACAAGTACGCACACACACACATACACACACACACATACATACATATACATTCACACACATATACATAGCGTGTGTGATTAACAATAGGACCTCCGCGTCATCGTCGGGGGAGAGCGCCCGCGAAACCTATAAATACCGGGGACCCAACGTACTCCTTCTTAAAAATATTTTTGTCAAGCTTCACGTATAATATTTGTTCGCCGAGCTTCTTCTTCTTCTACATTGTACTCGCCGAGCTTTTCCAAAAGTTCTTCGTGAGCGTGCTCGCTTCAGACCACTCTCATGCGTCGCCCTGCGTCGGAGTTGAGAACATGGTCGGGCCGCGAAGAAACTTTGTCCACGACTCCGATTCCTGTGTGTGACCGGCTGCTGACCGCAATCGGTAGACGAGTCACCGCGATTAAGGCGATACTGCGCGCACGTTCCGTGGCGTCTCCCTGGGGACACTGCTTTAGTCGCGCCGCCGTTCCGCCGCGGTGAACACAGGTGAGGACAGCCGAGCTTACGCGACTTCAGGCAGAGTCCAGACCAACAGAACGTGCTCGATGCGGAGGATAAATCGATCCCTCGCCCGTCATCATTACTTCGTCGCCGACCTGCGCCACTTCGCCAGCGTGGGTAGGAGCGTGGTGAGATTGCCAAAAATGGCGGAACATGAATTGACTTGCGTGTGAGGAGAGGAGGTATTTAATTTGTAAGGAGAATGTTGTGTGAGCCTGGATTCATTGTAACTGGGTTATATATTTATACTACCTGATTAAATTAAGTATTTATGATTTCAATTATGTCCTGTTTCAATGGTAGTAAGATTAGAAAATCCCAAAAATGCATGCGTCCCCTCTCCCCTATCAATATTTCAGAGGTCAGAAGCAACATCTGTCGACTGTGAGTCGGGCAAGCTCTACAACGGCGAGGTAAGTTACAGTACGTAGTATTACCATACAATTAATTATTATATGGTAATACGGACCAAATACTTTACTTTTTATGATAAAAGCAGCTTCAGCATTGATCAAGGAGCTATGAATATTGATAGTTCTGCTGCGTGTTTCGCATGTTCTAGAACATGCTCCAGGTGGCGTTGGTTTAATTCTACGTCTTCCCACTAAGATCACAGTGCTATAACGTGTTTTAGCGCTGCAATCGTGACGGAACACTGAAACGCGGTTGTGGAAATTACTTAGAATCTTCTGGCCAGATTTTAATTATCAGTTCCCCACCAGGAGATCGAGACGCATCGAATGACACTTCATTTGTCTCCATTGGTGCACGGGAAACTAACCGTGAGTGTCTGATTCGTGTACACGTACACACACGCGCGCGCGTGCGTGTGCAATTACTCAAATACTTTACAGAGATTTCCTGCATTTTTAGTTCAATAACTCAAAAGAAGTTGCCCCGATCTTTTATTTGCTTAGGGGTCCTGGTCGCAATGGCATTAGCTATATAACAACGTGTGGCGTCAGTTGTCAAGAGATAACTAGATCTTCACATTTTTAATTCCTTCATGAATTTTTCTCATCACCGCATCTAAATATTTATTGAGATAACATTGCACAAAATTGATCCGCTTGGCGCGGATTATTTCGTGTACTTTTCAAAAAATGTCTTACTGTTGGATTTTCTAGCTTCTCTCCAACACAACTTTGGTTTTCAAAAGATAGCGGAGAACGAAAATAGTTATGTTTTGATAAGTGGACTGTCAAGTCAATTTTTTTTCATCGCCACCAGTGACATGTTAGGAACATTTTAACAGGAAGAAATTAATAAAATCTGTTCTTTTGTACTTTAAGTGTGAGAAAATACTTCATCCTCCACAGTTTATTTATGCTGCTTACTTTTAAATGTATTTCTAGTTCAGTCACTTGGAATCTGGTCCAGGAAAAAATTATGGATTTTTTTTCTAAAAGGTTCTGTATGTTTTGTGGGCGGCTGAATTTGAATTTTATGATTGTTACCTCTAAAAAGATCGGCTTCGCAGAGAAAGAAGCCAAACGAAATGCTATAAAAATTTCGCACTTTTTTTTATCTTTTCGCTTATATCTCGAAAACTAGGCGTTTATTCAAAACGACAATCCTTAACAAAATTGAAGATGATAAAATGACTTACAAAATTTGTGTATTAATATGTATTTTCTGAAAAACGGTGTAGGCGCTAGAGCATGCTGAAAAACAGAGAATGTTTGACGCTCTGGTCAAAACAGAAGAATAGCTCTCTCCCGCTCTATCTCGTGACTGCACTCTAATTTTACACTCCAATACTCGCATAATTAGTAGGAACGTGTTTACTCCCGCAAAGTATCTGTTAAGCTCAGCTTAGGTAATAAATGAAAAACAAGACATAAAAAAACACTACGTTGTGTACAAAACATATTCATGGAATAGTTGTTCCTACAATACGTTTTGTCAACATCTGACAAAGTATGACGCGAAGCTAAGAATGAACTAAAGCTGAAATTTTATGTAAGAAACAAAAAATATTGAACGTGACGTAGTCCGTGAAGTCATGGAAATTAAGCAACTCGAGACACTACGGATTCCTGGGTGTGACCGACTGGGAACCCCAGTTACTAACGGCACCGAGACCTGTTCGTCTACATCTCGTCCCTGGTTTTTTACCACCTTCCACCGCTGAGGATTCAAATGACTCACACTCCACTACTGCACTTGGTGGAATATCCTCAGACTGTTTTGGAACTGTAGCTTTAGTTCGGGGGACTGGAGCAAAATATCCAGTAACCTTATACCCTGTTGTCAAGTAGTGTTTAAGTCAGCTCAAGTCCCATAGTTTAGTCGTAACCACTGTACAGGGCAACTAGATTTTTTCTCCTGATAGTTATTTCCTTCGGATAGGTTGAAGGAACTGTGTTTTTTTTACGAAAGGTGCGAGGGCGAGTGAAATTAGAGAGGGTTTTAAGGAAAAGGGACGGCAAGATTGAACTTCTGAATTTCCAGGATGGTAAAGGGATTGAATAACTGTCCCTTTTTTGGTTTTAGGACACGAACATTAGGGTAAATTTTAAGACCCATCATTATGACTGGAAGGCCAAGTTTTGCTCCACAAGTATAATAACCTTAACCTGAGCTACTCATGAGCTAAAGCCAGGGATACAACCGTTCTCACTATTTGCGTATCTGCATCTTCAGCGCTTGCTTGCAGAAATTACGGATGTATCGCCTCTCAGTAAATATCATTCTTGCTTGATGGTGTCTTCCTTCAATCTTGAATATTCTGGTGATGTCAGACATCATACACATCTGGCAACGTATATCCCAAATCTACACACTCTATGGTATGGGTTTTGAAAATATTCTTACTGTCGTATTACTGTACTGTGATGTTTTATTTCTTATTAACCCAAAGTACACATTTAGAAGTAGTATTTATTAAATTATCTAGTTTCATATTTTTGTTTCTATATAATTTTCTTTAGTTTTTTCTTAATATAATGTCATAATTTGGCACTTAATATTGACAAAACGGTTGTTTGTCGAAATATTCAATGAATATATTAGTCTATATTTTACACAACGTATTGTTTCTTCTTGTTTTTAATTGATTACCCAAGGCTGGAATTTACAGATACTTTGCGCAAATAAATACGTCTCTGCTATTTACTCGAGTATAAGAATGTTAATAATTTGATAATGTCAATAATGTGGGCAAAGGGCCAATTTCACCGTTTTTCAGCGAGCTCTAGCGCCTACATCTTTGTTTACAAATTAACACTTAATATACGCATTTTGATGGTAATTTTGTCATCTTTAATTCTGTAAAGGATGGTCGTTTCGACAAACGCGTATTTTGGGAGATATAAGTGAAAAATTGAAAAAGTGAGAAATTTTTATTTTTATTTTTTACTTTTTATTTATTTAATAATTTGCAATTTTCTCTGGGAAGCAATTTATTTTGTCTCTTTTGTAGTGGCAAACAAAATTCGAATTCGGCAGCTCCAAAAACATGTAGAACCGTTGAGAAAAAAAATCGGAATTTTTTTCTAGATCGGGCTCTTTTGAGCACCAGGTGTTTGAACTTCTAAACAAATAGTAGTATAAAATAAAAGGGTACTAGCTTGTAAACATGTGCATAATACTCAATCGGTAATAATATTTACACTGGTGCTCGTTCTCTTGACAAGTAGTAGTTATTGTCACAACAAGAAGGCACTGTCGTTGCTATTTTGTTTTTGTATTCTTTCTTTCCGTCTTGTGCAGCAAAGGCACAGTGAAAATATTGTCAGGTGTTCATCCATATTCCGGTATTCACCCATATGTTAATACACTCTGAACATGGATGAATTACGTTCTTGTATAACTACCATATTTTTGCATTGTTAGACCATTGCGATGCATACGTATGTTGGTATCATGTAAGACTGTAAGTCTTCATGGTTGGTATAATGAAGAGGTAGAACCATGATGCAATTCCAAATCGTGTAAGCTGTACGACGAGCAATTTGGAGGTTATAAAGTGAAGGAGGTTATAATTATTCTCTTGATTGACAAATAATTGATAATCATGGCAATTACGTTGTGGAATCTGTATGAAGCATCACTTTTATGTCTGAATGCAATTTGTGTTCTTCATGAAGAAAGATTTTTAGCCAAAAGTAATGCTTACATCTGTTGTACGAAATATTAACTGTGTGTCAGTGTCATTGTTATATATGTATGTTTCTTTATCCAGTTGGATGGAGTGCTCATCAAAATATACAAGGATTCGGGGAACAACCAACTATTAAAAATCAAATTTTAAATTTAGTTCGTTCAATCAGGATGGTTACCAGAAGTAAGTCTTCCTCAATATATCTTTTGTAGTTGATGATGATGATCAACTAAACTTAGTACTTCATACCAATTTTTATTAATTTTTTTCTTCTGTTGCAGTTCCTTTGATATTCTTAAATATATTAACAATATTAGTGAAGCTAATATTAGGATGACTTCTACAGTTTTCAAAGGACACTTTGTGTTTTCTGAACCAAAAACTAATGATGAATTATGCAATAAAAAGAGGATTTTTGGAATGTTTTAGGCCCTTTGGAAATTGTGGTGCAATAAGTAAATTCAAGTGTGCAATCAACAGTAACATCAGTATACAATTGTGCAGTTGCTCTTTCAAACAGTATGTATTATTACTAGAATACCCAAGTTACAGTGAACTTCTTTCCATTGGGATTTGATCAAATTCAGATTTAATACATGAGAACAAAAAATTGCTGTGGTATTAAAAGGGAGTGCCTTTATGATATGCAGAAGTTGTACATTGTGTATTAAGCATTTATATGTACAGGAGAGTGATTGTTTTTCAACAGGAATGAACTGCAATAAACCATTAAATATGAAAATACTACTTTATTGATAAATTTATTTTTAATATGTACATGTAGTTTTATTTGAATACTATCATAAGGATAAATGCGGCAGTTATTTGCCGTATTCTGTAATTCCTTGTTTGTTGTTCCGTTTTCGTAAAACAAGTGAAGAAGAAATCCTTAAAAGCATTTATTGCATTAAAACATTTTTTGTTAGGAATGTGACATCCCAGCAGATTACTGTGCTAGAGAATAATTAGGAAGGTTTACATTTATTCAGTCAAAAAAACAGTAAAAACTTTATGTGACGTAGGGGGGAAAAGATTATCTGTGCACATTTTCTTGAGTTCCAGAATCCCTTCCTGTCATTTTAACTGTATGAAAGCTGAGTAAAAGTAAATAAATAAATAAAAATTAATTTTAAAAATTGCAAGATTAGCAATATTTAAAAAATAGCTTCAACAATTATTCATTAAATTTTAATGTTTATTTTTTTTCCATTGTTCGATTAATGACATTCATTTTTGATAATCTTTGATGATCTTTTAACTTTTTTTGAACATGTAAAGAAGGGTGAGGAAATATGTCAAAGAACATTTAAAAATCCATGAAATATTGTACTAAATGCTTAATAATAATAATAATAATAATAATAATAATAATAATAATAATAATAATAATAATCATAAAAAATAATATTTTATTGCTTATAGATTTACAGAAAGTATTAAGTGAAGTTTGTCCAGAAATTATTGAAAATACAAAAGGTTAGTTATATTATTTAACAACATTCACTTACAATAATAATTTAATAAGTTAACATTATTTTAATAAATTATATGATAAAATATATAAAACTGATAAATATAAACAATTAAATTTAGTTAAAACGGGAATTAAATTCAATTACATAACTTACAGTAATGATTAAAATAGTTTACTTGATAAATTACATGATTAATAAACCATGCAAGTGGTCATAATAAACATTTAAATAATTTACATTTTTGAACTACATTGCCTCATTACCATATTAAAAATTACATTAAAAATACATTAATACGTTACAATATCAGATTGATACAATAGCAATTACTAACTTACAATTAAATTGAGTAATTCTACAGTAGTTGATTAACTTCAATAACTGGACTACATTAGATGTTAATAATAATTTTAAGTGCTTATAATATCCTGACATAAAATTACATTTTTTTACCAAATTACTAAATAGTTCATTGCCTTAGTGAACTGAAAGGTTGGTACAGAGTGGTCACACTTGGAGCAGTACATCATTCTTAATTACAGAAAAGTTTAAGCAATTCAGATATCTTATATGGACACACATTAACAAGGTGACATTAAAGTAATGTTTGAAGTATATATTATCAGCTGATTTTATGGAAACTGAGAGTTTATTAAAAATCTTGATTTGCTAGTGCATATATTGTGGTAGTCTCTATGCCCTCTAGTATGATAGTTATGCACCTCTTTGTTAATCACAAGATATTGATTCTGATTATTTCTCAAAAGTAGTAATACTTTGTGAGAGTAAAGTGCTACATCAGTCGATAATTCATATTAAAGAAATTTTTACAAGACTGGCTAAGATTGTTTGAAAATGCTTTTAATAAATTTCTTTTGAAGGGCCATTAATCTATCCATATTTTTTTGTGTTGGACCTCCACATATTTCAATACCATATTCAAGTTGGAAAAAGATTATCCCATAAGAGACTGAAAGAAGTGCATCTGTTTCCATGTACCTGGAAAAGTATCTCAAGAGGAATATATTGGAGCTCATTTTATTAAAAAGTATGTCAACTTGTTTGTTATAAGTTCGGTTTTGATCTATGAATATTCCTAAAAACTTACCAGCAATCCCTAATATTATTAGATTCAAAAAAAACAATTAATTCTAGCTAATAACACTGTTTTGTAGAGTTTGCCAAGTACTGAAGTTAGGGTTATCGGTCAGTAATTTCTAACATCTTGTGTGTTATTATTCTTTGCAATTGGTCTTACAAAACCAATTTTTAGAGATTCCGGGAAAGTGAATACAGATGGAGATGAATTTATTAAGTAAACCAATATATTGAGAAGAGGAGGCTTACATTTTTAAGAATTATTGAAGATCATTCCATGATGAACAACTATTTTTGAAGGAATTTATCAGTCGATGAACTTCAGTAGCATTTGTATGATTTAGAAACATAGCTTTTGCAGTTCCTGAGGATAAAGAATTACTAGTATTACTGGTTACAGTGTCCTGCTGTGAATTTCAGAAAGGAGAGTCCTACGAATATTGGAAGACTTATCAAGAAGCACATCTTCATGTAGTAGGTTAATGTTTTTGTTAGTCTGAGTTTTCCCAATGTTGATTATATTCCACAATGTTTTTGATTTGTTCATTGAGTTGTTAACTTTATGATATAATTGACAAACTTTCTCATTCATAAGTTTTAGCTTATATTGTTATTTATACTGTTTACACTTCTCAGGGCTCTTAGTAATGTTTTCCATCTTATTTCTAAGCCCAAGAATTTCATAAGGAAGCTTAATTTTGGGTTTCTTCACTACATTAATTTGCCTCTTAATTCAATGAACTCAAGAACGAGTTACATTTCTTGTTGATATCATTACTATTGAATACTTCAGTCCATTCCTCTTTTGGGAGACATTCATTCAGCAAATGTAGTTTAGTATCACTTGCGCCTCGGGTGAATGTGTATTTAGGTAGTTCAAGGCTAACAGGGCAATTGATTATATCAGTGACTTGTGCAGTGTGATCAGTTAGACAGAAATCAATATTGTTAGAAGAATGTTTATTCACTTCAGTGTTTGTAATGCTGTGGTCTATTGTGGAGCTGGAATGAGTTGCAACACATGTTGGCTCTAACTCCATCACATGAAGATTGAAGCTCTTTAGTAAATCACGTAGTTCATTATGTTCAATATTAATGTTCAGATCTCTCAAAATAATTGATGTACAATTGTGATATCCTAAGAGTTTAGTTAGGAGTTCTTCAAACCTGAGTAGGAAGGCATTAATACTAGCATTGGAGATTATAAATGCCTATGATTTTTATGTTCCCTTTCAGTGATTTTACATCTACACCTACTACTTCAAAAGTAATTTCAATACATGTATCTCTAATCCAATCTAATGATTTAAAAATTAAATTATTCTGCACTATTATTGCATCACCACCATGTTAAGTGAATTCTCTACTGAAGCATGCATGAAGTTTTAGCTGGAGAAGTTAATCGTAGTAACTTCATTATGATTAAGACCATGTTCAGTAATGACTCCTAAATGTATAAAAGTTTGTTCAAGTATTACCTCAAGCTGTTCAATTTGTTGTGGATGTATTGAATATTTTGGTGAGGTACATTATGGACACTATCTTTTTTAAAATTTCTATCACAGGAGTGTTGCTTTAATTGCTAAAAGGTGTTTTCTTCTTATGCGTTTGCCTAAAGTTGTGAGAAGAAGTAATGTATGGTTTATAATTATTGTAATAATTAATAATCCATTATGTTTTCAGTAATTTGCGTAGTAAAGTATTGTCAGTGGGGGGGGGGGGGGGGATCATGCTCCCCTGTTGCCTTAACTCCAGTACATCCATTAGTTTCATTCTCATTTAGTTTTCTACTCTTAATATTAATGACACATTTTATCTAGACTGGTCATGTTTGTGTTTCAGGGTTGATGTGTAATGGCTCTGCCAAAACGAATGGTGCTTTTTCTCTTGTGAGAATTGAAAATGAAGTTGAAGTATAAAATGAGATGAATTTTTTAATTTTCTAAATTGGTTTTCAAAGTATATTATTTCATTAATGAGTAGTTGTGATGTATAACTTGATATTTTCTAATCTACTATGTGCATCTTGTTAACTGCCAGATGAATAAGAAATGGCAAAAACTAAAGTTGAAAGTGATTTTTGTGAAGCTGGTATTAGCTTCATTGAAATCACTTCCTTTAATCCTCCCAAAATTTGATGTACAGAGACATTCCAGTACCTCTTAATTTTCCAGGTATTTGTTTACTTATTTATTTCAAACTTCTACAAAATCAATTGGACACTTACCAGCATTATTTACTAAACAAATGTTTAGTTCCTTGTGAGTTCTTCAAAACTTTGTTTCTATTCCTTGAGTTGGTAGTGTTTTAATCATTCAGCAGTTTATCAGGCACATTTGTTTTCAACTCCTGTTTTGAATGTGTTGTTTTAATGTGTATTGTATATTTAAAAATGTTAAAATTGGTTGCAAGGACATTTATTTTTATATAATATGAACAAAACATCATTACAAACTTGATAGAGAAGTAAATGGTTCGCGTAAAGGCAAACTGCAATTAGACCTTGCCGTACTTGTTTAGAATAATTGCATGACGTACTATTGTTTTGGAGTTTACAGGTCAGTCATAAGCATGTTTGGATGAGAGAACTCTTTTGTAATAAGTCTACTGAATGAATTTCCTATTTTAATGTTGTTGAAAAAACAGAACACTGTGAGATATGTTTTTGCAGTTGCTGAATTAAAATAGCAATTTTCACTCAAAACTTAATCTATTAAGTTCAAAGATTCCTGAAGATGTGCAAAAAAGATTTTTCCTTTGTTTTCTTCTTATCACACAAAATGATCACGAAAACTGTTTAATTACTTGTAAAATATTGTTTCTTGATGATGGCTTTACATGCATTGTTGAAGGGGAACAGTGGACATTTCTCCTCCCCCACAATATTATTAAGTACATTCAGTAGTTAAACTCTAATTTCATGGTTTTAACTGAAGACAGTATAATTTATTATAACAATTCATTTAATAACATTAAAACTCAAATGATAACATGGTGTACTCAAACATCTTTTGCCATGCTACTGTATTTAAAAATTAAGAATGCATAGGAAAGGAGTATTTTTAGGATGCTCGTGAACTGAGGTTTATATAGGGACCCCTCTTGATCTTGCATTTTTATATTAAGATATGAAAATACAAAGAGATGCAATATGCACAAAGTTTTAATAATAATAATAATAATAATAATAATAATAATAATAATAATAATAATAATAATAATAATGATAATAATATTTATTGAGTCACATATACAATTACAATTGTGTATGACGAGTCAATATGTCTTGGGTGGAGAGAGTGAAGTTACATTACTGTTCAGTAGCAAAACAAGTGGCCATCTCGGCATTTGCTCAAGGGACCAGTGAAAATGAACAAAGCCTGATCGAAATGGGGTCATTGGCCTAGGGATTATACTACAATACTTGCTACAGATAAATTAGGATATTATTCAGTAGATTATTATTTTTTTGTAGCAGATGATTTAACATTTCAAGATGTTATTGTCATTTTAATGCTACTACATTGCCAAAATAATAATAATAATAATAAAACAATATGTATCAATTCTGGTAGCAACTACATAAGATTTAACAATATTAGTACATTCTATATTTATAACTTGAAATGGTGAGGAGGAGGAGGAGGTGGCGGCGGCCGCGGCAAGTTTTGACCGTTGTTGTTTTTTGTTTTTGTTTTCAATTTGTACACGTAGTCCTGCTGCAGCACCTAATGCGTCTAGTAAAGTCAGAGAGAAACATATTTTTGTTTTGTTTTTGTCAGGCATTCTCCTTTTATATCACAGGATGCAATATGCCAGTTCTTTTTTCTTTGCTTCAGCTCAAAACAGTTAATATGAAACAGAAAGTCTAATGGGATAAGAAATTTTTTTTAATTTATATTTTTTAAGGGAAATGATGTGATTTGAATATTCCTTTACACTGTATTACATGTTGTTAAACAGGAAAGCTTTCAATTTACTTTTAAATGTATGAATTGTGTTCATGTCTTTAATATCATTGCCTAATTTGTTGGTAAGTGAAATGCTCTCTACTGGGGTACTTTTTTGATAAAGAATGGGGAACATGCAAGTAATCCTTTCGACGAGTGTTGTAGTTGTGTACAACGGAATTTAAAGTAAAAGTGTCGTTTTCCATGAGAATTTTCTTTGTGAAGACCACTATTACAAATATATTCGTGCATGGTAGAGGAAGAATCCTTAGTTTATTAAACAAGGGTTTGCAAGACTTCAGCTTATGAGTGCTGGTCATTGTAATATTCTTTGTTGGTCGAACAAAGAATATTAGTCGAGTGGTGGTCGTCGCAATATTCTTTTTTGGATAATATATGTCCAAGTGATTTTAAAGAGCATTTTCTCAAAATATTATTTCATATTTCAGGTGTGAGTGCACATTATACTGTTCGAAGTGTCTCAATGTTGGAGCTTGGTCTGAGGGTGTATAGGGTATAACAAGATTTGGTGAGCTTCTTGTTAAGTTTGAGACGTGAGCATTCCATTTTAGGTTTTGTTAAATTGTTGGACCGAGGAAGGTAGTTTCTTGAGATATCGTTACAGGGTTATTGTTTATGAGCAAATACTGTGAGAGTTTTTCTTTAGATCAGGGATTTATGAAACTTAGAGACTGTCTTGCTAGTGTTTATGATGAGTTTTTTGTCTTGAAACCATTTTACTAGTGCTTGCAAAGTTTTGTAAGTTTGTAATGATTGCTGTGTTTTTGCTTTGATGATTATGTTTCTGTCATCTGCAAACAATATTATTTTGAAATTCCTTAAAGCCAAAGGCATGTCATTTATGCATATAAGGAATAGTATTGGCCCAAGGATGGATCCTTGCGGGACTCCTCAATTTATCATTTGAGGGCAGTAGTATGAGGAGATTTTGTTTTCTTAGTGTGCTGGAGGGCAATGATTTGGCTACTGTTTGATAAATATGATTTGATCCATTGGCCTGCAATGCCTCAAATCCCTAGCATTTCTAGTTTTCTTAAAAGTATGTGAGGGTCAATAATGTCAAAGGCTTTTGACAAATCTAAGAAAAGGCCAATGGGAATTTCATTCTGATTTAGGGCAAGAATTATGTCATTTAAAAAGGAGAAGATTACTGTGTCTGTGGATCTATTACTCCTGAAACCATGTTGTGCATTTGTAAGGACATTATTTGCATTGAGAAACTGTTCAAGTCTATCACTGAAAAGCCTTTCCAGAATTTTTGAAAATCCTGAAAACAGGGAGATAGGTCTGTAGTTCATTGGATCATAACTATTGCCCTTTTTAAACATTGATTTAATTTTTGCTCTTTTGAATATGTCTGGGAATATGCCTGATTTTAAAGAGTAATTGCAGATGCGAGACAGTGGTTGTGCACTATACATGGAACACTGTGTTTAATAAGAAAATCTTGAATGTTGTCCATGCCTGCTGAGAATTTATTCTCCATTTGTCCAATGATTTTAAAAATTTCAGATGGGATCGAACTCAGGTCTCCTGTCTGCAAAGTCAGCACACTACGCCCTGAGCCACTTTGCTTAGCTTTGTTTCGAAAACCTGTTTTGTGAATTTTTTAAAAGTTGAGTGGTACATATTTTTATTCTCCTCAGTTCTACACATTTATTTTATGTGTAACAAATATCTTAAGTAAAAGTGAAAATAAAATATTTTAATGTAATTTTTTATAGATACTTTATATTAATCATTTGAATCATAAATTGTGTAATAAATGCCCAACATAAATAAGCACGTTCACTTAAATACAATGCAAATTCAAAGCAGGAAATAATACTTATTTATACACAAAAAAAGCTGAAACAGAAAAAGAGAAGGAAAAAAAAAAAAAGGTTTCACAAAATATCTATTGAATTCTCAATATTTTTTCACTACATTCTTAATGTTATCCTGTTCTGATGCAGCAAATGAAAGTGTTGTGTGGTTGCTATCTTGCAGAGTGAAGTGTTAGATTTTACTCTTCATCGCCATATCACTCTCCTTTTCCTGGGATTTGTGTTTTCCAGTACTGGCGCTGTTCAAAAGTTACTAGAGAGTTGACATCCTTTTCTTTTGATCTAAAAAATCTAAACTGAATTTCATCGTAAAGAACAAGAACTAGTGAACTGCCTACACTCCGAACAGAATTGATTGAAACACCTTTATAAAGGGCAAATAAACCTTTACTTTGTATTAATTGACGAACAGTTTCTGTCAAACTTCTTTGACTCCCTCCAGGTCCACATGGATATAAAGACATTTGCTGGTTACGTGAGATGGTGTCCAATGGGTATGAGAGACAGCCTGCAAGGAGAGTCCCCACCTGAAAAAAATATAAATTGCATCAGTTTGCTATTCAGAGGTGAAATAAGACAGAATACACAAATAGTACAAATGGATACAAAAAACATGTTCAGAAATTTTAATTTTGTAATAGAACAATTAGAGATTGGAACAGTTTATCTGCAGCAACTTTCAAAGCCCTTTTTCTAAGTAACTGCAGCAACTTTCAAAGCCCTTCTTCTAAGTATCTGCAGCAACTTTCAAAGCTCTTCTTCTAAGTATCTGTAGTTTTAGAAAGAAGTTAGAAATAGCTGTCATTAAAATATGCTAAATTAGTGGTGTAGTGTTGTTCAGTGAAGAGCTGGAGCAAAGCAAAATTCAATATGAAGCCTTACAGTGGGAGTGAAATGAACATAACCAATGCCAATTTTTGACCTGAAATTGTTAATATTAACTATTACATCCTGTATTTATTGTTACTACTTCCATTATTACTACAGTGTACCACTATTGAGTTTATTATATAATAGGTTTCTATATGTAGTTGTGAAACTGCCACAATGTCCTGCACAATTGCACTGTTAATAAATTTATTTAATACTTAAGACAGTGTAGTTTCTATAATCCTGTGAAGTTTGTTATTTTGGACGGTATTGGAATGTTAAATTATCCAGCTTTATGAAATTATTGTTGAAAAATGATTTGTTTAATTCTGCTCAAGATTTCAGTTTTGTTCACCATTTGTTTTTATTCGAAACCAGTGTTGGTTGAAAGGTGACTGTAATCTTTCACATCTAAATGTCATTGAAAACTTTTCACTGTATTTAAAAATATTTGTATAGAAAAGAAGGCAAGAGTATATATTTTTAATGTGGATGTTCAATTGAAAATGTCATCAAATGCAGTTTCACTAATTTTTCAATATTCATTAAAAATATTTTATCATTACTATTTTAATAAATGATGGAAAGAAAACTAATAGATTCTTTGAGAAGTTGAAATACATCATACTTCATTAATCTAGTTTGTTTCACCTTATTTTGTTGTATAAATAATGTAAGCACTCATGTGGAGTGCAGTTAGCAAGTATTCTGTATATAAACTGGAATACCTTTAAAAAAAAAAAAAAAAAAACGTCCTTGTGGGTCAAAGTACCGTAACTTGACACACTGTGCAGAAGTTGAATGGACAATTTTGTGCGCCATTTTATATTAGAGAAAAGGTTAATTAATGCTCTTGGAGGTTCTCACAAAAATTGTAAGATATTTTTGGCAAAATTTTAAGATGTGATAAATTCTCTTCAATGCTTAAATCTGCATCCTGGTTGTACAAGAGCTATTTAATCAAATAATAATCTAAAGATTTGTGGAATTGAAGGCATTAAAATGGATCATTTGTTATTCGTATTTCTTTATTATCATATGAATGATAATTTTATTGATTTGTAAAGAAACATTGTATTCATTTTGAACACCCTGTTTTCACAATAACAGCTCATCATTAGGACACACATTAAAAATACACTTCTTTCTTACTATACAGTTAAAGAAAAGATCATGCTCATCTTATTGCCATATAAATACACATTTCTCTATCATACATTTCTTTCCTCCAGTGATCCAATCATAAAATACCAACAATTGGCTTTACTTAAATTTCTCTGCCACTATCTGCAATGGCATGATGGATGGCCTGTGAATTATGGATAATGTATTACTGACCTATGATTTATTGTAGCTAGAATTATTCCTGGCTACTGAACTTTTTTGCTTTTTTAATCTAAAATCAAACTTATTAAATTGTATATGTGGGGAGAGATAGGGTTCATTTAGTGACCAGAAGCAAATATTTCAGTTTGTGATTGGTATTTTTTCAGGCTTTATTGTGCAAATATCATGTTCTATACATTTTATGCACTTCTTCTCTGCCATATTCTTTCAATTTCATTTCTGTAATTTGTCATCACTATAAAATAGTAAAAGTATTTTGGGAAGTGTATTTGCTGAGGAAAAAAATGTTTTAACATTACTTTTATTACAATTTCTTCAATTGCAGCAAAATTGTTGTTCATATTTTTTCTGTTTTGTGATGCAGATTCTAATTATGAAGAGCTTGTTTACTTCTTTTAGAGCATTATACAGATTATATAGATAAACATGTTTTGTGCATTGCACTTATGAGTTATCTGTTTTTGGACCTGCATTGGTGTTCAATAATGAACATTTTTAAATTTCCTAAAACATTGGGAGAATCATTGGAATTATTTGTATGATATTTATCTTTATTTTAGTTACTATTATCGTAACAATTAGAAAGAATAATTTCTGAGATAATTGCCTTACTTGAAAATGTCAGTCCTGAGTTCATTTAGTCGGAAGTAACATAATACCTTCCTTGCTGAAGACACAATTAGTAAGATTACTGAACACACAATTAGTTGTTACATGAATAAGAACTGCATCTTCTTATCCATAGCATCAGTGCTTTTATATCCAGCATAGACAATAATTTATTTTTAAAACGATCTCATGCAATTAACATATATTTAAAATAACTGAAACTTTTTTGTGGATCAAGAAATATCTGACAAATTTAAAAGAATAAAATGAAAAGAGAGGGCAATGGAATTTGCTGTTAAGTGTCATCATGTTCTGTTGAATCATAAGTTGTCATCATGTTCTGTTGAATATAAAGAGCTAAAACTCAAGCTTGAAATTAATATTTAGGGCTGAAAACAGACAGTTTATTGGGTGACTGAAGAAATCTGAATTGTTCTTACTATCTTCTTTTTACTCTTGTTTGATGTGTTTTGAATTTTGGCCATTTTCATGTTGTCAGTTTTTGCAATAATACATTGTATTTATTTTTTATTAGCATTGGTGTGCACACTGGACCAATGTTCCCCCTGAAAATTTTGAAAGGGGATTGCATATTTAATTTAAAAAATTTTATTTCTGTAATTATTTTCAATCCCTAATTTTTCCCAATTTAAACCTGAGAATTTGGGGAATTGTTAAATGTCATTTGGAAAAGACCTGCTATACTGTAATCTTGTAATGGTTCAACATGAAATTAAGAATATCATTACTATAATTAACAAAACGTTTTAATAAAGCAGTATAATTGCACAGGTGGTATGCTCAAGGAAGCAAGTGACGATAGGAGCAAGTTTTATTACTTCTCACAAGTGCAATTATACTTCTTTATCCACATGTTGTGACAAAAATATTTTCATTTCCTTTTAAATTTTGAGAAATTCAAATTCGCCTTTACCATTCAAGGCATACATTTAATGATATCTTATTACTACTGAAAAAGCCCTAGTGAAGCAGGCATTGCATTGTGTACTTATGATCAGCATAGGGACATAAAGGATAAAGAAATGTTTGCAAATGGAAAATATTGAACATATTTCGGATGAAATATGAAAAGAAGCTGACAAAGTCATTAAAATGTTGCATCCCACGAAAAGTTAAAACAGATATGAGAATGAATACAACATGTATAAATATTGGAAAGAAAATTCAAAAATGAATCACCATGGTTTTGCTAGATTTTTAACATTTAATTTATTTATGTTAAATATTTTACGTAGTTCCATTAGTCAGCGAGTTTCAAACTAACATTTACTTCGCCGAAGTTCGTTTTTGTTCATGTTTCATAAACAATTGGAAATTCTTTAGCTACATCTGTGTTATAGTGACTTAATTAAACTCAATCCTTTTTGTGACTTTTGATTGGTAATTTTGCAGTTTTAATTGCACACATGCCATTAACGTTAAGATGATCAATGATTTTTTATGGAATTAATGAGCATATTCAGTGAACTAAAGGAAAAAAGAAATTCATATTGCTTGTAGAAGGTTTTTTTTTTACTAGAAAAATGTGCCATATGTAAATAAGAAATTAATGGTATAAGTGTGGGCCAGAAATGTCATTACCCCTTGTTTTAGACTTTAGTGACCTTTGTTAGTTTCAATGAATGTTGAGTCTTCAATGGCTTTATCTTGCATAGTGACTATTTGAAGGCTCTAATATTTTGGATATTTTTGTGTATAAATCTCGCATGTTTTTTCTAAACTATATGCTAGATTCTGAACCTCAGGATCTTCTATAGTGGTGGAAGCAGAATGAATTTGAATATTTTTAATGCATTAGAAGTGGGATAAAGATTTGTTGTGAAACAAAAAATCTCTTCCTCTAGATGCGACTTAAAAATGATGCCACCATTCATTACAAATTGTGAAGTACACTATTTGTGAATTTCTATTAAACTTCGGTTTCAAAGGTTTTTTTGCACAATATTGTGCATATCATGCTGCAACAAATTATTTGATGTTAGGTGCATTATTAAGGGAGATAGAATGTATCTGTGTGGTTAACTAAGACTTGTTAATCATGCTTTGTGTGCAGAACAATTTTTTCCCTTTAACTGCGTGCTCAGCAAATTTTTAATGATTATATTATTCTCCCTATGACATCTCAGTTTTTTATACAACATTTAATGTTCAAACACCACAAAAATTAGGATACAAAATTTAATAATAATACTTTTTCATTGTGTATTCAAATTTAAATGAGCTTCTCATAATCTGATGCTGCATGAGAAAAGTAAATTAGTATGTCTGGTAGACTAATGTTTATCGAAGAAAATTGGGCTTATTATTTATCTTTTAAAGATAGTATTCTTATAAGTAATGGTTTAATGTTGATGAGAGAACAATACTGCTACTTTAATTGTCGCTCCTTTGCAAACTATTTACCTGTGCCAGAGGCCACATTACTATGAATGGGGGCCTTGAACCATAATAACTTTCAGCATAATATTTACTTGTTTTAAAAATGCCAAAATATACACTTCGATAAAGAGACATTCCAAAAACACTGCAGGAATATCCAGAATACAAGCCACTTATTCCGTAGCGATTATAAACTCGAAGTATACAGTTTGATAAACCCGTGAACACACGACAAGATGAAACGTCGGCGCACATCAGCGTGTGACACAATCTTATGGGCTGGACCAAAGTGTGAGCAGAAAATCCAGCTAGTGCTCCACAAAGCATTTCACGTCCAAGGCGGTTTATTAAAGAAACAGATCTCAGAGTTTCGGGGGCAATGTACTCCTTAAATAGGTCGTTGAAAGCGAAACTAAAAGCAACAGAAGGAAGGTAGCGCACCATGTTGGCGAAATTGCCTCGCCAGTAACTCAGTAAACCTTGTTCTTGACGAACACGATTAAAACAGTCCCAGAAACCCTTGTATGGATGAATGCCAAGTTCACGAAATTGGGGCGACAAATCTTGCGTCTGTATGATGATTTTCACTCGTTCTATAGGACAGGTAACTGTCCTAACGAAGGTACCAGCAGTTCCAGCCAGAATCCAATTTCTGAAAAAGGTCCGGATCTTTGAAGTGTCCATACTCCCAGCTTCTGGTGAAACGAAGGTTATGAAAAAAACTGGGGCTTCATTGTTACATTATGTCAAATTGACATATAAATAGAATTCTTAGCTTTTCGTGTTCGATGCCAGTGTAAATGACCTCCGCTATCAGGAGGGATGTTGTATTTAGCGTTTTTCTGCTTCATGCGCATGTTTTTTTTCGTAAACTTTGCTGTAAGGTAGTACCTCCCCGTATTATTGCGCTGTGAGAATGTCACTTATTAAAAATATTTGTGATTGTTACTATTTTTCGAAACTACTTTGTTTTCATTAAAGGGGTAGGAAATTTCAGCGAAGAGTGTTCAAGTATAAGTGGGCGTAATAAATAATACGCCGCATGGTAAACTACAGGCAAAATATATGTCAGTGTCACACTCGGGAGGGGTAGGACCGCATGAAATACCATATTCGGCCTGTAGTTTTGCAAGTGGGTATTTCAGTAAACTAATTACAATGGTCGTGCAGTAGCTGCTTCGTGGACTGTTTGTTTCGATTGTTCTAAACAAATAAGCAGTACCAATTCACAAAGTTCACTGAATCTAAATACATCTGGATAGAGCCTGTGACTCAGTTTTCGTCACACGCTTTGTTTGTGTGATGTGGAAGATGCCTCCATACAGTAATGATTCGTATTGGGTTTTGGGTGTCTACTCACGAAACTTTTGTTGTCACCAACATTAAAAAACACGAGCCGAGAAGCACAATTATAATTAAATTATTTCGTATATTCATTTATTAATATAAATTTACACAACCGTATGTTTTAATTGAAGATCGAAAATTTTGCTTTATTCAAACAATTTGTGGTTCCTTATTTTCAGTGGCGCACCTGAAAAAGGGAAGAGGGGGGACTCAACCCCTCACCCAGAAATATTTAAAAAAATATAGCTTTTACGATCTTCCTACTCTTAACAGTGGCCATTCAATTTATCAGTTTCGTTAAAGATGTCAATTATAAGTCAACGAATAAAATTATATTTTATATTAAGCATAAATTAAATCATGTCGGCTGGACACTAAGCTGATAACTAAGTAGTACCCCTCCACCGAGAAAAATCTTGTGTGCGCCTCTGATTACAGTTATTGGAAACAATCATGAAAAACGCGTATACAATAATTTTTAAAAAATGTGCCGGGAAAGTAAGCATGAATAATTGATCGAGTCTTATTTATTACAATACCTGCATTATATTTGTTACGTGCACATCAAAAACTTGTAATTGTTTCAGGTTCAAGTCAGTCGCCTAGCTAGATACTTCCACAAACATTCTCCACAAGAATTTTAAAAAGTATTACTATTTTTTAAACATTCCTCAAACTGAAAACCATAATTTTTCGTGTTCTTCTACGCGGTGTCCTTTTTAGTTAGGCCTAGCATTTTAATCTAATATTTACGTTTTACAAATATCCTTAAGAAATTGAATGGATCTATGTAACTACTATATCAAAAATAAATATTATTTGAAAAATCGGGCATAGAGTGTGACGGTTTGTGTCATTGATTAGCTGAAAATTGGTGATTTCGGCAATGATCATCACGTACTCTTGATGAATTGAAACTTATTATGTTGGTGCATTAGGTCAGATAGCTACAGTGATTTATTTAATTAGAATAACTTATCCACTTTTTTGAGGCATATTCTCAGGATATGCATGTACTTTGGTTCAGCAGCTCTTTACGAGTTAACGCCTACCAGCAGCTTGTCTCAGGGTATCTGTTACTTGAAAAATTAGCGCATCCGAATTTTTGGAAATTCCTGAAGGAATAGTATTGCGGAAACAAAATTTTATAAACGAGAAGAAATTTGCATTGCCGATAATGCATCTACCACTCTTCAGTTTTTTATAAGACACTAAAAAAATACAACCTTTGGCGTTCCCTAATAAGAGCGCAGCAAGTTTATGCGGTCCGAAACAATCTTAAGTATTCTGTCTTTAAAAAAATCACATGCCCCAACACTGGACTAAAAGGCACAGGAAAGAGGCTGTCATTGTTAATGCAGAGTCCTGAGGATTCCGCTTCCGAAGACTTTTATCGATGCTTCTCTTTCGAAATATCTCGGCAGGGGATATCGCCTCCCATTCCGTCCCATATATCCATCCGCTGCGTCATCATTCCAATATTTATCAGCTGTACATAGCTTGCGCACAGGGGGACCAGGAGGGGAGGGGGTTCTCCTAGAAGCCTCATAGCTCTACAATAAAACAGGGGTGTTCAACTTACTAGGCTTCAAGGATCACAACTAAAACCTTTAATGTGATTGCAAGCCATATTTTTCATTACTCGGGCGTTTCACAACTGACTTTCCCATATCGTTGATTTCGGAACTCTCCTGGCTACTCTGAAACGGGGGGGGGGGTGGAACCATGCGTGATGTCAGGGTGTACCTTGTATAACGCTGTTAATCAAATTGGGATGATTTTGAAACAATGGACAAGGGGACCCACAAATCTAAATTGATCCCCCTCCCCCTCTCATTTTAGGTTGCGCACGTGTATGCCGCCACCCAGATCGCAATTGCCTCGCCACCGCTTCAAACCCGCTCTGCCCCTCCCTCAACCCCCGCTCGCTCCGTCGCAGTTCTACCACCGCTCCCCCCTCTCCGCCACTGCTTTCGAGACAGTTTCCTGCAGTCAGTCGATCTTGTCCATGTCCTTGGCGGTGATGTGCACGCTGTATTTGGCGCCCTCCTTCATGAAGCCGCGGTGGAGGATGAGGCACTTGCCGCAAGGCGCCAGCGAGGTCTCGTGCTCGGCGGCCGAGTGCACGGGGCCCGAGAAGCTGAGCTCGCACGAGCCGTCGGCGCTGGTCGCCTTGAGCGTGCACAGGAAGTCGGGCGGGCTGTCGTCCTCGACGGCGTGGCCCACGCCCATGCACACGTCGCGCAGGCCGTTGCGCTTCCAGAACCAAAAGTAGTGGCCGTGCGCCTCCGTCAGGTACATGGAGAAGGCCTTGGGCGTGTCGTTGTGCACGCTGCGCTCCACCGCCGGCTCCAGCACGTTGCCGCGGTGACGCAAGCCCAGGTGCGGCCGCAGGTCCTGCACCGCCATGCGCTGCTTGCACAGGGCGCACCTGCAACACCACTTACTACTTGCCATCTACGCCCGGGAAGACTTTCTTACCTGTGCATAGCAACTGCAAATTGAACAAATCGAAACCTGGATAATTTATAAAGAAAAGTCCAATGTCGAATACAAAAGGCTTAGCTAACAAAGTGAAGTTTCACTGCAATCAAATACTATTATAATTTATTATTATCTTCGTAATCAAGGGAGTAATAAGTTGTTGGCGTAGATTATGTCGTAGAATAAGCTGTTAATGTTCGCTAGGACACCTTTGGCGGCGTCACCATATAATTCTCAAAATGTTAGTAGTAAAAACAAATAATATGCGTTATGTACGATTTCATCGATAAACTGAAATAGTGCAGAGACTTTATAAATAATTGAGGCGATTGAAAGTTTTTCCGAGTGTTTATTAGTAAAGCAACTCTCGATGACTATCGGGCGGCAACTGTGGGGGTGTAGGACCGCAGTTCCGAGCGTCATATTTGCTCCAAGTAGATGCTATTCGGCATCCAAGTTGTTCCGAGCGCAATTCACAGATTACGAAACTTACTCCAGGTTTCTCCCTCCCCCCCCGAGCGCCCCCCCTTCAGCCGGAACAAACTCTCCCGACTACTCTCTCGGCCTTTGTGGTAGTGAAGGTAGGGTATCAGATATCTCCCACCAGCGGGGCACCGCCCCAGTCGGGACAAGCTCTAAGCTCCCGACCGGCCTGTGTGGTAGTGTAGTGCGCGTGTGCGTTAGTAAGGGGAGAAGATAGGATAACGAAGGGGAAGAAAGATCGCGCACGGTCCTTGGCCCATTTGTTAAGATAAAGCTCTGGCATTCGCCTAGCATTGATCAGAGAAACTGCGAAAAACTACAGAGCTGCCAGCTGCTAGAATACTCCAGACAACGTCTGTATTCGACCTGGCTAATATAGTGTGTCGAAGTCGGGTGCGAGTGAAACACGGACACGGAGTGGTTCTGTACAGATTTATTTACAATTTTTCCTATTCAATATTCACACCCCTGAGGAACTAGCGGTGCACTACCTGCACCACATCCCTGAGGCATACCCACCTCAGGCTGACGCAGACCCCAGCGTCTAACTTAGCGCAGCTCCTGGTCTGTCGTCCCTCTGGTCTGGCGAACCTCCATACCTCGCAGCCGTAGCTAGCGATAACTCCTGGTGTGTGACAAATGCCTTCCGCACAGCGATGCGGTTCAAACTCGTATGACCACGGTTGCTCCCCAGCCGCCCCGCGAGAGATCACCTGACAGACCTCCCATGCCGGCAGCGTCATCTCATTACCGAACCCTGAGTCTAGTTGCAATTTGGAGCCCAGCTGACCAGCGGCTGTTCTCCCTCTGCGCCAGTTGACACCCGCGTTCCGAGACACGCCCACCCCGGCTCCTCGAGGAGGCCCCGACATTTGCGGCCTTCCGCTTGCCGCCAAAAGACTGCCCCGCCACCTCTCTGGCTATCGACATGTGGAGGCCAGCGGGCACATTAGAACGACGTTACCATATGTAGTGTCGAAAATGTGTCACCGTCGGGACTCAAAATCCAGGACCTCCTTGACAGAGTCGCTGCAGAAACAGCGGCAGTGCCGACTCAGATCTAAACACCCGATAAATACAACATGAAAGTGGCGAGACGTGTGGAGCATGAAATCACGATATGAGGCGCGACCTGAAAGCGGCAGCGTGAGGGTAGTACAGGCTCCCACAGACCGGCTCCGCGAAATGCGTCCTCCGCAGCGTCACGTGCGTCATTTGCGTCACGTGTTGCCTTATGAGCACGTTCAGACCTGCGCGGCAGCGGATTGGCAGCGTTTCCTTACCTGCGGATTTTGTAACGCAGTCGGTCGCGATTCGACCGCCGCCGCTCGAGTTTCGTGGACGTCCACCTGCCTTCGAGAGACTTCGCTCCGCTCTGGTTCGAGTTCGCTTGACTTTGTTTATCGAATGTGCAAAACTGTCACCAAACGGTGAGTCATAACCGAATCTCCGGTGTGAACGGTCCCGCGGTTTCCGCCGCCGCGCCTAGCGCGGTACTGTACGCGCCGGTCTGTGAAAGCGCCTTACCTGCTGGGGCGGAAGCCGCAGGCGGCCTCATGCTGGGGCAGGGCGTCGGCGAAGAGGCGCTCGCGGCAGCCGAGGGTGGAGTGGCGGCAGGGACGCGGCAGCAGCACCTCGCAGATGGCCTCGAGGCGGCGGCAGCGCGTGCCGGCGAACCGGCCCTTGCACTCGGGGCACTCGCTCACGCACAGCCGGCAGCGCGCGCACACGCTGTGCCCGTTGACGCACTGCTCGATGGGCGGGAACATGTGCTCCATGCACACGGGGCACTCCAGCAGGCGCAGCATCTCGTCCTGGGCTGCCTGCGGCGCTGCCGCCGACGCCGCTGCCGCTGCAGGCGAGGGCGAGCGCGAGAGCGCGCGGGAGGCAGGGCCGGCCCGCGCCTCCCCTTCGTCCCCGCTCGGACCCGCCCCCGGCCCCCGCCGCCCGCGCGCCCGACCCCCGGTCCGCGCCCGCGCCCCCGCGCTCTGCTGGCTGGCGGACGGCTGAAACGCTTCCTGCAACACGCAAAACACCGCCCAATCACCGACAATATTCTTCTTTCTATATCATAACGTCCTACACCTAGCGTTTAGTTTCAGCCTTTCAACTAAGATAGTAACATGTTTTGTTATATTAATTAAATAATGTATTTTACTCCTGAGATACAGTTCCGATTTATAGCCACGATGATAAAGATATATCATACTACACAATTATAAATATACAGTCAGAATCATGTCATAATATAATCTGAATCACGTACGAACTGAACTGAAGACTAGTAGACGAACTGAAGAAAGGATCTTTTCTTCGTAATCTTGATTTCATATGGTCATCTACTATGAAGGATACGAATTTTTTACTCGCGACACTGCCTCGTCGAAATGCTGTTGTGAACTCTCTTCTGATTCTTGATGCTATTTTTCATCCTTCGCAGTTGTGTAATCGCCAGCACTGAGAAGGCGATTCATATCCTCAAGAGAGATCAGAGGTCATCCTTAATAGTAGGATGGGATTCCTCGTGAGCAAGCAAAGCCTATCGGCATCAATGAAAAACGTCAAAAAACTCGACTGATATCATCTTCCCTTTTCATGTAGATTTCTGCTTCCATAGAAAGGCAAAACACGACCGCGTCTTCTTGTTGTCCAGGCTTGCAGGTATACTCAATTTGATTGAGATCGGTGCCAGAAGATTATAAAGAAATATAATTATGTAAATGGCAGAAAAAAAGCAAAAATAAGACACGGTTAAAATAGGCAAAAAATGCCAAAATAAGACAAAATGACCAAATAAATCCAAATAAGCCAATATGGCCAAATAAAAATCTACTAAAACATCTCCAGAAGTACAAATAAGTGATTACTATTGTCAGAAGTTATAAAATAGTAACAGTAATAAAAAGGTATTTTGCCAAACTTCGAGGCTTCCAGCTGTAAAACGGAATAAGTCAAGTTTTTGTCCAAAATGGTTATGCCCGGACATTGCTTGATACAACACTATCATTGTGTAGGGGATAAGTGACATTTCAATGTTGTCAATATAGTTTAATTACAGAATTGAAATGTCACTTATCCAATTACACACAATGATAGTATTGTAGTAAAGCAATGTCATAGCATACTCGTTTTGGACAAAAAATTGATTTCCCATTTTCATGCTCCTACTAATACGGGAGTTCTTTAGTTTTGACGGGTTATCTCTAAAAAAACATAAGTAACGTCTCCAAGTCCTTTTCGACGAGGTCGTCTCTCCCTTTTTTACGCACCAGCAGCAATCGCCCGAATTTCGCGTAGCTCTGTCTGCGTCCTGGGACCGGAGCGTGCGGCGACAGCGAGCGCGAGCGTGCGCGGGGCGGCAGAGTGGGACCAGGACACGCCACGGCCCTGGCCACCGACCCCGCCTCCACCACCGCACACGCCCTCGCCTCCGCCTCCGTCGCCTCCGACTTCACTTCCGCCGCCCGCGCCGCGGCGCCCTGCACGCTGGTGGTCGGCTGCAGCACTTCCTGCGAACAGACGCTACACTCAACAGTCTTCTTTGGAAAGTGGATCATGCGATGAAGTGCAAATCTCTGAATACGCCGGGATCCGAGATTGGAATCTTTAGTGCAATCTATTGGGGGCCATAAAGGGGGTTCACCTTGCAAAAGGTGAGGGAATTGATTTTTTTTATTTCGTTTGTATTGATTTAGTAAAAAAACAAGTTTTCCACCTCGAAATACTTTGAGAAAAGGTTTGGTGGACAAAAACGCATTTTTTGTTGTTTTGTGCTGGTTTTAATGGTAATAACTTTTTAAAGTTTGATCTTAGTGCAAAAATAGTTACAATTTTAACGTTAATAAAATTATCTTCAAATTTGCTTTATAAATTGTTTTCTTAATGAAATAGAGAGCTACGAGGTTTTAAAATTACACTATTTTTTTATTCCTAATTTTTCCAAATTACTAATGGTCTCTTTAATGTACTTTTGGCTTCCGAAAGTTTTCATCAATAAAACGCTGTTAAGTATGATTTTAATAATTATTGAGGTTAATCTTACGTATGATGGTTATTAAATGTTCAAATATAATGTTTAAGTTAATATATAAAGCCCAAAGAATTTTTTTCACAAGATTATGATGTTTTCCTCGAAACCTTCAATTAATAAATGCAACTGAAAACCGTCATTATGAATGAGGTCAGCACATAACAAGCATTTCTAACGAGAATTTATTTCTCCTTGTATACATCTGCGTTATCTCCTGTGTAAAGGGAAGAGAAAAAAAGTTTGGTATTTCTGCCGATATGACGGCGATGTGGTGTAATAAAGATTTTTTGTTTCATTCAAGGAAAAATTCATAATCTTGTGCAAAAATGATTTGGGCATGGGTCAATCGGTTTCGTGATACCGTAAAATCAGTCGTATTCCCTTCCCAATAAGGAATTAATGGGTTTTGAAATTTAAATATCTATTATGTGCTATTAATGATATTGATATACTTGTCTGAGATAGCTCACTTTCCATTCGAATTGATGCAGAAATCAATTTTTGATCAATATCCGATATACTGCGTATAACAAGTTTTGTATTTATACTATGTAGGAGGGCTATAAGGAGCGATGAAGTGGATACATGGCCTGGTCGAGATTTAAGATTTCAAATAATAATATCATTTGTTATCAAAATAAAAATATCTATAGAATTATAAAACCTCACGGTAGTGTGTTTACCAGTAAATACGAATTTTTGTTCTTGGTGGAGAGACAGTCATGCTGCACGTGAGCATTCCGGAGGTAGTAGATTTAATAATAATAATAATAATAATAATAATAATAATAATAATAATAATAATAATAACAACAAAATGAAGAAGAAGAACAACTTAATATTTTTTCCATCGAAATGCTTTTGATGTAAGTTAATCCTCTTAGTTTGCAATACGTGTAGGCCAACTCCCTCTCTTTCCAGAACTTTCAAACGTTAGTTTAACCTCAGAAATTATTAAAACCATCTTTATTTAATAGCTTTTAATTGATGAAATCCTTCGTAACACAAACATACTTCATTAGAGATACCATTAGTAATTTGGGGTAATTTCAGAATAAAAAGGAAATTCTAGTGTCATTTTAAAACCTCGTAGCTCTCTTATATTTGAATGAAAAAAAGTATGACGAACATTTGTAGAGATTTATAAACCTTAAAATTGTATGTAATTATTTTGCACTAAGATCATTCATTAAACAATTATTACACAAAAAACAAAAAAGTCCGTTTTTTTTCACCAAACCTTTTCCCGATGTATTTCGAGGTAGAAAGCTTGGGATTTTCTTATTAATATCAACATTAACAATATTAAATTTAATATATTCTACCTCACCTTTTGTATGATAAAATGACTTATCGACAGTGTTATTTAGACAGAACCTTTAATATTGAGCTATTAAATAAATAACTCTTTTTTATAAATGAAGGAATAAAAGAGAGAGCTACTTTATTATTACCTCAAGTTTGATTTTAATTTTCACGAATGTAGAAAATATACGGATTTCATGAAGTAACTCCGTTTACATTCTGCGTGTGTATGGAAAACCACATTTTTATCGCATAACTTAACAAACATTACCTGCGACGAAAGCTCAGCGGTCATTTCTTCAGTGTCAGCTACAGCACGATGTGATGGCAAACTGTTCTAGCCACAGCACTTCAGCTGGCATCAAATCTCTTCCGCTTTTCGTGTATAACACGCACGCTTCCTCCTCAGCATGATAACAGCAGTATGAGTGTTCCAGTCAGTCCGGCTTTTGCGTCATTTCCTATTGGATTTCTGTAGAACTGAAAGGCATGTTCATTGCGAATAAATTATATTGTGTTTATATGTAGATTGTACTCCACATTTTAAAAAATAATCATGATCAAATCATGATCATCATGAAGAATTCGCAACAAATTCGAGAGTTGAAATATTCTAAAAAAACTGCTTTTAGAGATATTTTTGAATATTAATTACATTAAACAAGAAGAGACCAGTTCAGGTGGCTTGATTGGAAAATAATTAATGACATTATTCTGGTATATAGTTTCAAAAAGATATATTTGGAATAAATCATCATATATTTTAAGCACATCTCTAATTTGACATTACATTTAAACTTCTACTGAAAGGTTACGATACATTCTTAGAAAGAACTTAACTTATGTAGTCAAATATGTCATAAAAGCAAGAGTACTGTATTTAAAACTGTCAAAGCTTGAGTTTTCTTTTTTTATACATTTTTGATCATATAATTGGGAATGAGTACTTCGTTAATGAGGGTTTTGATTCATTCTCTTCGGTTTGAAAAAAAAAAATGTTTTCGAAATATTTTGTTCATAGAGTAACGACATAACGATTATCTCGCCTCTTCTAGCCTCTGAACTGGCCTACGCGATCCAGCGTCTGAACAAAGTGTGCTTCGGGTTAATGTCGCTTGTGGTATTAATCCTTGTATTTGATCTTGTTAAATTAAAAGCGTATATTCCTAGGCGTCTCGGGTCTTGCGATTTGGTTAGAGTGTGTCTGGCAATTGAGGCATCTCTAGTCTTTCCTGTCGCTTCTATTTTTCCGTTCTTGAGCGTCATTATCTGAAATAGATAATTCTTTAAGATTTTCACATTATCATCCATCGCAACTTTACAAATTACATATAACAACGCCTCAAATGCCAAACTGAGTGCTCATTCCCAATTATATAATCAGAAATGTAGAAAAAATATGAGAAAACAACTAAGGTTAGACAGTTTTAAATACAGTACTCTTGCTTTTATAACATATTTTGGCTTAGCTAACTCTGTAAATGACTTCAAAATCTATACGACTTGCGGACTTGACTAGTTTTGTGACGAAGTAAGAGACGTATAATGAATTTTGAAACCCCTATTCGATCACAACTCCTCGATGACGTCAGCGCACAAGCGTATAACATGAACTCACTTCGCAGGACGACAGTCTTATTTTCATAATATAATCGCTTGTAGGTGCCCCAACCCTTGGGTAACGATATATAATGTAAATATTACGCACCACAGAAGCGTTACAACTGTGATGAAAATTTAATACTGGAACCTTTTTAAAGACGGTTTCGAGTCAAATGTATTTTGTTGTAGTGATACATAGTCGTCGTCTTAGCTACAGTTGATTACACATGAACGTTTGCTTAACAAATGCCGAACACAGCTCAAGGAAGATGTTCTAGATGATCATCTACTTTTGGAACACGGATTAACTACCCAATCGTTTGGTGTCAGCAAACTTACAACATGTTCAAATATCACGATTTTCTCATCCCCTTGTAGTTTCGACAAAGTCCTAACTATGGGAAGCGCAGAGATATCAGTTTGGACCAATGACGTAAACGAGTGGTCGAGAGTCGCTTCAATACTTTACTCTAGTATCGACTGTTATCCCGAGGATCTCCATTCATTGGCGACAGTATAAGGTAAGATCAGATCGTCTAAAATATGGTTCATATTTGTATACCTTCTGCCCCAAACTTCACTTCATCCCTAAAATGCTGTATAAAAACATAATCAAGTTCACGGCAAAAGCACATGTTTCAATTCAAAAGTGACCTCTTCGATTAGAAGCCTGGACCAGTTTGAACCACGCTTCCTCGCCATGTTGGCCCTAAGCACCGGGAACTAATGGCATAAAAGTTCGCAGGATTTGAAAACTAATTGCCTACTATTCAAAGAAAAGAAATAACATAAACTTATTGAAACCTTTGTATTTATCTTACATGAGTTTTGCGTGAAAACATGTAGATATTTTGACAAGTTGCTCTATATTTTTAGTTTATGCTTACTTACTTTTTAGATTCAAACAACTTATTTCAAAGAAAAATGATATGATTACTTCAGGAATGAAAGTAAATACGAGTAGTACTTGATTTTTATGTTTTGTTTCACTTAATACATAAAATAATATAAAGAATTGGATAATTGACACGTCCTTCATTCGTATCTTCAATAGCAATTTAATTCTTCTTTCATCGAGAAATGTACATAATTTATTGAAGAACGTTCATTAATATTGTGTACTAATTAAGAAAGTTTTTCAACGTTTACATTCATGTCTGCAATTTACTGTAACTCCTATTAATTTCCGACACTTCGTTCAAAAGATCCGTTTGTTTGCAACATAATAAATCTCGAAACCTGGACTTAACAACAAATATGGAAGATATGTTTGATGGGTTGTATTTTCCCCAAATTTTAAGTATATTATTCTTGTCCAAACCACTTCAGAGAGAACATAAAAAGTGTTCGTGTATAAAATAATACTTGCATGAAGGAAATAACAGAAATCCAGTCAAAAACCAGTTAAGTAAGTATGCTCTTTAATTACAACGTCGTTCGGTAAATTGTGAGATGGAATTAATTTGCAAAGTCTCAATCTTGCGAGGCCGGTGTCACGAATTTATTTTTAACGGTCCAGGGACGTCGCATTGAAGACTGGTTGATTAACAGTTGATTCATTTTTTTGTATGTAGTATCTTTTTCTTTCTGGCTCCAGCTTACGCAGTAGAGAGAAAGTTTGTTCTGCTGCTCGAAAAACGTAGAATTTTCGTCGGAAAAACGTTTTACAAGAACCCGGTAACGAAAACGTGGATAGATCTAGTTGCTAAATTTAAAAGAAAATATCCTCCAACTCGGGGTATAGCCAGAACCCGTGTTTTGCATGTGACTGCAAAATTGAGTGACTGCAAAACGTCTGCCCGTACGTCCGTTTGTCTGTCAGTCTGTGAACAATTCTAGCGGCTAAACCGTTCAGCCGATTTTCTTCAAAATTGATACTTCCCAAGTGATCTAGCCTATGTCGTGGCTTCTTGATTTTGAAAGCGGTATTTTAATTTTGGAATGTACTTTACATGAAGCCCTAGGGACATTTTCAAAAGTTTCAAAACAATGGCTCAATGGATTTTGATTAAATGTTGTTGTTGGATCGTGTGAAGGTCGTTTAAGAGGTAGAGGTCTTAAGAGATTGTCGTTGAAAACTCTGATTTTTCAGAAATTGCAAACATTTTTAATTGTTTTGGCATCTTCCTACAACTACAATTACTAAGGTAGAATTTTTTTCTCTTAATGAAATCTGTTCCTTAAAGATGTTTTGAAATAAGAACACGTACAACTTTTCGAAATTGTTAGTACTTTTCGCGGAATTTTGCGTGAAAGTACGGACGATGAAGTACGTGTTATTTTAGCTAACCACTACTTTTAATGGTTATTAAAATGACCGCGGATAACCGTGACGCCGGCCAACATCTTAAAACAAGATATTGTTGCTTTGACAGCAAACACCAATTATTTATTATTCAGGCTTACATTTATCGTTTAAGCTCAACTGTAAGAATCAATTTTTAAACTAAATGAATTTATCATTATTTTTGCTCGGTTTCCCTCTTACTTTCTACATGTAATGCAGAACAGAGTTCTTGCCAAAAGACAAAGATAAATCATAAAAACTGCACACAGGTAATTAGACCGGAACACCTTGCAATGATAATAAATGTTTGCTTTTTGCCAAAATTTAAAGGCCATTGATGCATATTTTTCATGGATTTGAATGATCTGATGTGTTTGTCAATAAATGTCGAGGTTTTAACAATATTAAGGTTTTCTTCAAGAACAGTTTGACTTACTCTTAGCATCTGTTCTCCAAAATGAAATAAAATATATTTCTCTCTTTCAGATTGGTTGAATTTTTCCTGAAATTTAAAAATTAATCTTATTTAATAAAAATGGGTGACAAGAAAAAAGGAGGAGACGAAGAAGTAGTGGATACACGCCTGGGATTTCTCTTCGATTATTTATTCAAGTCCTACAAGCTCAAAATAGAAAAATGGAATAAACTCGTGGATAATGATGAATACAGGGTATGACTGAATATAATAATTGCATTATCATTCGTTTCAAATAATATTGTTGTATATCCAAATGTTCCTTATAATTATACTTTACTATCCGCCTGCATTGTAGATATTCTTCTGTATACACGACATTTGAAGCAGAACCTTCTTCAGAAGCTAAATGTAAACAACTTTACAATTCATTTTATTATTCCTTGTGCATCTTACATCATTTCGTGTGACAGTTTTGATGACTCAGTGTACTTAAGTCTTGCGATCACCGTAAGTGCGATGCAGTAAAGAACGTGAAAAAAACAGTTGAAACATCGACCGATCATTTCGTGATTTCGTGGGCCACTCTCATTCGCATGAAAGATATAGTATTTGGCACATTATTGTCATAAATTTCGCACTAAAATCAATATTTAGACCTCCATACTTCTCCCTGAAGCTGGCTAGCGAATCCTTGTGTAGTTAAATAAAACGTATACCAACATTTAATACCAATCTACATTACAAATTTCAAATATATAAATTGAGGGATACATACGCAGCCAGTAGCCATGTAAGTGTTTCAGTAGTTTTGTTAGGAACCTAGGAACTGTGAAAACAATGAAACTATTTCGATTTGTGCTGAAAAATACAAAGATTTGAATGCGTTATTCCGCCTTTTCTCGTACTGCGCTTACCGACTAAAGTCTCATACTCTGTGAGTCACTATTAACCCTAGAACTGACGTTATGCGACGAGAAAGAAGAAGCTTCAGTATTCACGTGTGCGGTTTCAGAACAGCCCACTATTGCAATTCCACAACCCCAGTTTTCCTACACTCAACAGCAGCACTTTGCTGTTTCTGGTCACTAGTAATTCTTTGTTTTCAATATTGCTTTACTGGTGTGGCGTTGTTGACATCCGAAATCGGCTAAGATGGCTCAGGGTATAATACAATGTGTGTGGCAGGGTGTATGACCGGGAGGTACCAGGGTTCGAATCCCAATGCTGGTAGGGTTTTCGACACTGCTAGATAGTTAGGTTAAATTTAGTTGCTGTCTGTAGGAGAAATCTAGCGGCCGGGTGCTCTGATCGGTAGACGGTTTCCATGGTTACGCCAATCAACACCAAGCGAATGCCGTACCCTTACAAACGGGCCATGGACGCTATCTTTCCTTAGTCATCCTTGTTCTATCCTCACCCATTTCTTGCACAAACTATTCGACCACACATGCCTGGAGGCTAGTGGGGAGTTTAGAGCTTGCCCCGCTGGTGAGGGATACCTGGGTGGGGGGAAATCCTGCTAGTCGTCGTGTAGGTCGGCACTTGATATCGCTATCCAGCGGAAGAAAATCACCGCCACCTCCCGAGGAAAAAACGTGCAGTACGTTTTCGGAACTAAAACATTAGCAGTTGACGCGCCCGGATACACGAAATAATCAAATCCCCCTGAACGTAACCAGCCCATGATTGTTTCATCAAATAAAACATTTACCAACATGTGCTTCTAATCTTTTTTTAATATTGGTTTTGATGTATGAGAAGCTATAGTAATTTCTAATATTTGAATGAAACGTGTCTTCACCAACATTTTTATTAATTTCATGAGCAGCTTTCGACGACTTAGTCATCGTCATTCTCAGATCAGATATTTGGAAGCTAGAAATAACTTCGAAAGGTCAGCTTCAAAACTCTCCGTCTCCGTATTAAGGGCCAGTACTGTGCGAGAGTAGCCGTTCTAATATTGATAAGCATTGAGATTGTACATAAAATGAGAGTTCCTTTAATTTTATCGTGGAAGATTATTTCTATTTTCTTCAATTTAAGTTGACATGAATTTCGGTTTTCTGCTCTTGACTACCCATGCTACGTACCAGGGGAACGACAAGAAATAAATTAAAAAATAATAATAGAAAGTTCAGAAAGATCTCATTTTGTAGAATACTACTTAAGAAACAATTCGGGTCACATCTGGCTCCCTCTTGTCCTTGCCTCTCCCCTTCATTTCACTACATATCGCCACCTATCCTCCACATATCTCCACCTGTCTCTTGTCATTCACCCAACTGTCTCTACCTGTCGTACAAAAACGTAGAACTCCTCTGGCCTCTTAAAACTACTGTTCCTTCAGAGCAGGAACACCTGATTTCATGGCCTAGGGTGCGTCGTTTCCAAGAAATTCACGATTATAATGTGTGTAGCAGTAATTTGTTTTGCATGTCATTTCTAAAAAATTAGTATAGTACATATTTAGTTCCTCTTAAATCTGTTGGATGATGAATAGATATAATATAGGAGGTAAGATTGCTTCTACTGAGTAGAAGCAATCTTAAAGTTTTTTGTGTCGATGGTTTCTCATAAATTGTTAATATCCTTCATTTTTTTCTCGGCGTATTATATAGAGAGAGAATGTTGTTAAAGTCAACATCCTCTATTTTCAAATTCTCGAGAGTAAAGCCAGTTTAATACTAATCTATTACTATGTTTGTCAATTATTTCACTTTTTCAAAATTTAAGAATTTTAAATAAAATATTCTCTACAAAGTTCTGAAAATTTTTAAATACTAAAAATATAGGCGTATTATAATGGAGTAAAACGCTGATTTAAAACTCGCCAATACAGCGACCCACCAATAAAGCAATTCTTAAATTGTGTCAAATATGAAGATTATTTTCGCTTGATAAAATTTATTACTTATGAGATAACGACAGGTTTTATTGGTTCACCAACTCCCATAAGAATACAGTATCGAAAACGAAAATATTGTATAAAAAGAAAAGTCCCGCACCCAATTGCTGCGATGATGAAAACTTTCATTTAATAAGAATACTGCTTAAAGCAGTAACACACAAAATACGTTTTTCACCGTGTTTCATTTTCTTCACCAGGATGTACTTATGAAATTCTTTGGAAACCCCGACGAACGTGTTTTGACCATAACGCTGACTCCTGCCGGCGCCTTGGTTCCGACGATGTTTTTCCCCCAAAATCCCAAAGGGAAAACAACGTATTTTGTTCGCCGGCGACCAGAGGTGGTAACGAACGAAAATGTATATGGTTTACTTCTTTGTGGAGATATGTCGGCTCATCCTCTCGAAGAATTCACGCTGTTGGTAGATCAGGTACGTTGTTGACTCCAAGCAACTTGTTAAATGAATAATTTGAAACTGGCTGAGTGGGTTTGAAAAAAATCTGAATGCGTGACTTAATGAATTTAATTTAGTGGTCAATTCATTTGTTTAGATATTCCATTTGAGGTTTGATGTTTTGAGAGGCACAAGAATCATGTGAACATAACATCATCCAATCGTATTGTTCATTTTAAATGCTACTGCCCACGAGGTCGTCCATACATTACGTAACGCTTTGGAGTATTTTGAATACACCTCCCTCCCTTTAATGCATCTGTAACACGAGCGTGAGCCCCCGCTAAATAACCACGTAATGCGTGTTACACCCCCGCCATTTACAGTTAGTGAAAATATATTATTTAACAGTAAAAACCACTTGTATTAATTTTATTTGTGTTATATATTAAAATTTATGATAATTTAAGTTAAATTAGTTGGTGAGGCTGACCGCACCTCACAATATTGACTGAAGACGATTTTTGAGTGAAGGAAAGATGGATATGTGAGACAGTTTCTGACAATAAAACGCGCGCCCGCCGTCGTTGCTGATGCCTGGACGAGAATTGTGCCAATTTGAATATACTACAGATCCGTTCTGAATATTTTCTTTGTAATCTAACAGACTCAATCAAAAATTCATTGATGAAAAATTACCATTATTGTAACAATTATATCACAGTTTATATTTTTTAATTTCATTTGCTAATATCTTAATGTTTTAGTTTGTGACTGAACCCGAGGAATTATTTCGGCAAATTTTGAAAATTTAAAAAAAATCATCGAAGATACACAACACTAAGCAAACACCCCCTTCTCCTGTGTAACGCAGCGTAACGCTGCCTCAACCCCCCTTTCTAGCCTCACATAATGTTTGGACGACCCTTCAGCCTCGCGTACAGCCATCTTTCGGACAGCTTCGTAACATAAAAGAAGTACAATAAGCAGACTAACATAAAAATGGTTTTGAATCCTGAGAATAGTTTTAGTGCTGCCTCTCGTTTGCAGCAGAGTAAGAGCTAACAATGTGTAACAATGTGTGTGTGTGAATCACAGGCGTGGCTACCGTTTCTGTCGAACGCCAAAAACCACCAAGGCTGGCCGTCTGTCATCTCGGAAGACGTGATGAAGCACACGCGCAACCTGCGGAGCATGGTGCACGTGGCGCGCGGCAAGGCCAAGGGCGAGATCATTCTGCCGATGCCCGTGGGCGTGGAGCGCGTGCACGAGGCGGAGATGGAAATCATCGAGAGGTAAGCGCCGACTCGGCGGCACCCCTGATGCGCACTCGCTTCCGAAATTCACGGAAACTTGTGAACTCAGAGGGCAGGTGTCGTGTTAGACTAGGGCTCGGACAGACACGTTATCTTGTCAAACCCGAGTGTCCGATGACCTGACCAGACATGCGCACACACAAACCTACTCGTTCTCGACTTCACTCACCTTTGTGTATCTTTGGTCTCTCAAACAGCTCGCATTCAACCACCCGAATTTGGCCCTGGTCCAACCTAAGCTCAATCTGATGTCCAGTTTCCCTGATCCTTTTTGAACATATGCTGAGATGGTCCCTTATTTTGCTTCTGGACGTAAATATAGATGCACTATCTATAAACGTATTCTTCGGCTCTTTTGAATAATCGTTTCCCATTTTATCGAGGCAGGATATCGATTCCTTGGCGTAAAGCTTTAGGAATAATAGCCGAAATCTGTAGCTGATTTTCCTTCTCAAATTCACTGTCCAGTCAAGTTAATGTGACCTCCCGACAAAATCCTAAATAACCCCTTTTTGAGGCAGTGACCACTACGACACGTGCAAGAAGAAAATCAATTCGATTCTGGATGTTACCGACAGGAATGTAAAGCCATGTAGACTTCAGTGCCGTGGCGTGCATTTTTTTGCAATTTTCGATAGGAAAAGTATCGCTATCGTCAATATTTTAGAATTGGAAGTAACTTTATACTGAACTTTACTGTTCATTACAGATCATCAATTTTCCGATTATCAACGTATATACTTGTATCCTGTTGCTTTAAAAGACTGCCAGAATAATTGATAGTTATTAACGCCTTTGCTTGTTCATCAACATACAAAATCAACTTTCCAGAGTATTATTTTTTCTTCTTTTTCCCTTGATCTTGTTTGAAGATATTAACACATTGACTCTGGTTATCTAGTATTTGGAAACAAACATTCGTTGGCGTATGTTTGTTTTCAAACACAAATGTCGAAAATTCAATTCACCCTCAATTTTACATCATTGAACTAACTTCATAATCCTACAATGGATTTAAATGTATGTTTAATGAGAGGGAATCCTATTAGTTGAATTAGGCGTAACCCCAAAAAGTACTTTTAAATGATATTACTTGTATATTTGTCAAACATGATTTTTCTACAAACTAAAACTAAACCAAAACTGATTATAGAAGCAACTACTTGTAGGAGTAATGGCATCTACTATATATCTACTATACCTACTATATCTTTTATATTCTTCATCTAGTGAAGGCGATCACGTTGACATGTATCTTAAAAGTGCAATTGAAGGAGTAATAATAAAATGGGTCACACAAATTAATGAAGTTCTGAAGGAAGATCCAGAGCATATTTACGATAATGATCACAAGCCGTCACCTAATACCGGTTAGTACTACATATTGGGTAATTGGAGCTGAAACATAAAAACTCAATTTAATATATGAAAGTTAAATTAAATGTCCGTTGTTTCAGAAATTGAATTTTGGAAAACTCGTTTGAAGGACATGGAATGTATATATGATCAATTACGTGATCCTCGAGTTAAAAAAATGTCATCAATTTTGGAATTGACAGAAAGTGTGTATTTTGAAAGTTTTAAGGCCATTTTCAGGAACGTTGTAGCAGGTACTATTGCAGAACTTTCTAGACAATATTAAGTACGTGCAGGACGTTATAGATTTCATAAACAGTATATCAAATTCAAAAGGTACACTTTGCATCTAGAAAATAAAATATATAAAAATGTATTACATGAATGTCAAATATACAAAAAAAGTCTTACTTATTTTGTCTTAAAAATACAAAATTAATGTATTACTTCAACAAAATCTCTTCTTGGAAGTTTTGAATAATAAGAAGGTATCTACCTCCCCAGCGATCTTATTAAGGAGCCACCCTTATTATTTCTGAAGTATCATGACTTAGCGATTCAATTGTGTATTTTTAGTGGACATGCGTCAGAAAGGAAACTGTTTTAATGAAGTGAGAAATAGTTATATTTTATTTCAATATTCCAATTTTATTCACGAATGTTCTTTTTTCTGTTTATATTCTTAGCTCTTGCGGAAGCGAGAGACGTGAATCTGTTCCTGAGACCACTGGCAAAATGGACTCAATCCATTGAGAGTGCAGATTTTGATGAAGTTGACCCATTCATTGAACCGATGATTTGTACGATAGGCCTAATTTGGAGTAACAGTCGTTACTACTGTAATAGTTCTAGGATTATTAATTTATTCAGACAGATACTTTCTTTGATGATGGCGAACGTATGTATCTTAACTCCATTTTCTTATAAGTATTTTGTATATATTCGTCGCACATCATGATCTGGAATTGAATTGTCGGCTATCTGCTCCTCTAGGCTAGCAAATTTCTTGACCCAAGTTCACTATTTCAAGGAGAAGTATATGAAAGTTTAAAGCAAATTCGACGTGTTAGACACTCATTCAATCTTTTTCGGTAAGTTTACACACATTAAATCATAACTGACAATTTGAACATGTTTCTTAATTTTAAATGCCATGTTTCAGGGAGAAATATTTTGAGTATCGTGACCAAATTCCTCAATTTTTCAAACCAGATGTAGAAGTTATGGAGTGGAATTTTCATCCGGAATTAATATTTGACGAAACAGATCAATTTTTGTCAAGATTACGCCTTCTTGAGGTAAAAAATACAGTACTTTATTTTTTTCTTCTACTGTTTTAGAAGGTTTTATCACCTTATATTACAAATTATATATTTCCTTCCGCAATATTATTATGTAATGAAATATATTGTTGCATAATTTTGAATATAGAAGGTGGTGTGTTTGTTTTCTTGTAATATATTCAATCAAACTGGTGGGGAAACAACGCATTAAAGAAAACATCTTATCCTTACCGTTATCAAAACAGCAAAGTTTTCGTTACAGTCCTGCAATAAATTCAACCCTCATTTTTTAAAGTGCTGTTTTTTTTTCAGGAATTGTTCATATCTGCGGATGACTACACAAAACTTGAGAAAGTAGAAATTGGAGGACTAACTGGTAAAATGTTGAGCACTAGAGTTATAGACATTGCTAATGAATTTAATGAGGCATTCGCGCCGTTTCAAAATATAACATACGATCCACTAGAACTAAGTGACAATACTTTCATAAAAGATTTTGAAGCTTTTAAACAGATAACAAATGATTTTGATAGTAAGCTGGCTTCAGTCTTTGTCAACGCTTATGATGACTGTAATAATTTGGCGTCGCTTTTTAAGGTAAAAATTGTTCTATATTCATGAATTCCGTCTTATTTTTCTGAAAATAAAAAAAAATGTGTTATTTTTCAGCTTGCAAACATTTTTAGTCCTTTTATGGAACGTCCAATCATCCGTGATGCATTATTTCCCAAATTTTCTGTACTATTCGACATGTTAGAAAAAGATATTGATGAAGTAAAGGTATGTTGAAATATCAGATGTAAAAGAATACTTTGAATTTGCTTATAAGAAAAACATCTGCTAACGAATGACTTCCACTAATGATGGTGTTGGAAATTGGTGACTTTATCTCCGATTCTGATGATCTTTTTATTAAGTAGTAGCTGAATAGTATCGACTAGCAAAATTGTATCTACTACCGTCAATGACGGAAGTTGATTGATTTTTGTACAAAATAGCCAGTATGTTTTTTTTAAACATTCGGAAGAACTTTACACTTTTCGAAACATTGTCTAAACGTCAGCCATGCTACCTAGTTTTGGCAACGTGTTACCTTACTGTGCGTTTGAAAGAAACCAACCTCGAGAGATAATCTGCAATCCCATGACCCCCATATAGTAGTAAAGTGTCCGAATGTGGAATGCTTTTTACATTTTCGTCTACACCTTTCTCAAATACGCGCAAATTTAAAGACTTGTGTAAATAGTTCCGTTAACTAGTCATTTATAAACACATGTGGTTAATAGTATTCACTTAAATCTATTAAAAATTCACGATAATTAAAAAAGGTTTACTACATATATTCCACATCAGGCGTACCCTGTTCCTAAAGTGGAATAGTGGATGCTTTGTCTTTTTAGCACATAATAAATGCATGAAAGACGTTAGCTCAATACAGGTACGATATTTCGATATTTCACATTAGGAAAGTATTCCACACTAAGGGACTTTACCCTATATGATTTATTGTGAAAGAACCAAGCGTCTGTAAAAGGATCTAATTTGATTGTTACCCGGAAAGTCTGTAGTAACAAATGAACTATTAAACTGGTTATGAGCAGTTCTTTTCAGACATTCGTTTTGAAAACGTCTAAAATTTACTAAACACCGCACTCTTCAGTTAAATATTTGAAAACATGGTTGGAAATGGTACGCTACTGAAAAACCGAATATACGTCTAAACATAATGTAAATAATTATAGTAGGACTTTGAAATGCAGTCTACATGATATACTTCGTGGCTGCGCTTTTTGTAGGTTTAATATACCCCATCCAAAAAAAAAATCATTTACATTTTCTATCAAAATAATAAGTAACTGAACTAAAATAAGTAACAAAATCAAAAAGAAAATAACACATCACATTGATATAACATTTTCAATGAGACACATTCGTGTTCATGTCATTGAAATTCGCTTGCGCTTTCGAAATGTGATTATATGCTTATGAACTCTGCTTATAGACTGGAGGAATATACGTACGAATATTTTTGCTTACCACAAAATATCGTTGTGTTTTGGTAATTTCACGCTTTTGCGTCTTGGTTTACACTATATCACGTACGAAACATGAAAATAAATCCTATTTCCTTCATCCATTCAGTTTCAATTGTGGTCGGTTACCTCCTATTGACTTCAACTATACAAAGCACTGCAACCATCCTAACACACCGTGCGCCCGTATGTAAACCTTAATTCCTCATTGATCGTTCACGTGTTCGAATGTAAGTTCCATTGCATTTTCTTTCTTTGTTCCACAAATAATACTACAATTCATTTTCATCAAATATTGTACTGTAACTTTCAAGAAAATAAACATCAAATATCTCAGTTTACTTTCCAGTGTTAATTAAATGGGATTTTTATTGTTTTTTTTATTTTTTTTCGTTTTTTAATGTATACATGTAGAATCTTCAAGAACTTCTTTAAATATTGGAATAGTTCATTTGTTACCATAATCATAGTTTTCTCCTTTATTGGCAAGGAAAATTCAGATCATTTTTAATAATTTCAAACACTTTCTTTCATCTCTGACATGTGCCTTAGATAAAATGACCATCGTTATATTAGTCTATGTAACCCACCAAATTTTAATTTGCAACAACTGTTTTTTTCGAATCAAACCACCATTTGAATCATGTTATGTTATTGATGATCTTTACGGTCCCTGGCGAGACAGGGAAATTGTCACGAACGATGTGAAGGGAAGCCTTCAAGTTTCTGAATAAATGCACTGCATCTCCTAGCAAGCGATCACTGTTCATAGTTTTTAAAGGTCACGCGAGAACGATTTTGAACAACTGATTTTGAAGAACACAATTGAATCCAATCTTTATTAATGTTTTCTCCGATATTTGAAAGTAAAAGACAATAATGAGAAAAAAGTTTCATCACAATCGGCGGTAAAAGAGTTCTTGTATGGATTAACCAAAAAACAAGTAATTTCTTTTCTTTAGGAAATATTCGATGAACACATACAATATGGAATGGTGCGAGGCAATATGATTTTGGATCATTACAATCCTCCTACAGCCGGCGCTATTCTATGGGTTCAGAAACTTCAGAAACGACTATCTGAACCCTCTGATGCAATGCAAACTTTCGAATTTGAGTAAGTTGTGACCAGGTTGTTAACATGCGTAACATGTATCCTTGGGCTTCAGTTTCGAAGTGTCTAACATTTTTAACTTAGTTATTATTTTAGGTATTTGTATTTACATTAAATATTATTGATTTCTTTGAATAATTTATTTATGTAGGAACCCTTTCAACTACTGCAATCTTTGAAGCCAATGAGTTTAAGGAGTAGACGATTGTGGGAAGGATAGGGGAATAGTTGACAGGGGAAATGGGAGATCCCCGAGAAAACCAGCCAAGAGTTCACTTTTGCCTCCTTAAATTCTGCGTGGTTGACCCGGGATCGAACTCGGACCCCAGTCGTGGAGTGCGTATATGCTTAACATTATACTAACAAGAGCTCCTTTGCAATTTCTTTGACTACTGGTATCTTTTGGGCCATTTTGACTTCTAATATAATGTTTGACACACTTTTTGTCACTAGTGTTGATGAATTATTGGAACGTTCGGGAAAACCCTTGCAAAGCAAAATAAAGAGAGCATCGTTTTTTTGCAGATGGAAATTTGTTGTTTTACCCAAAAGTCTTTATTAGACTTGCGAAATGTCGTAATAGGACTCCTCCTTCTTGGCGTCCCAGTATTTTAATTTCAACTCATTTAAATTTAGTATTTTAGGTGATATTATTGCACAAACAGTGTATTGAATGTAAGTATCAGCGTGGCATCAGTGGGCTTTGAGCGTTATCCAAGTACTCGTTGTAAGAAGGCTACGTGTTTGCGTGTCACGTATAACGCATGGGCATTTTCATCTCGTGGTTATGGCTAGTTGGGTATATAGCGCCACGTCTCTCATCATACGTTTTTGAAGCGTTAGGTGAAAGTCATTTAAAATCAAACACTTCTTACGTTTCCATACAGCATCATGACTACTCCTCGAGCGTTCCATATAATGGACAAAAAGAACGAAATGATGGAGCTCTTATCTTCATATGAAGATCATGTCTTCAATCTCTGGAAAACGGAGGTTCCGTACATCATCAGAAAGAATTTGAGAATGCCTATGCTCATCAGAAACCCGGAGACCTTACTTCTTCGTCTCAACTTCTCTCCAGAGGTAATTCAACAAACGACTATTGTGATGTAAAGAAAGCAACGCATTTGGATATAAATGTAAACTTGCAATTACAAAATCAGCGAGAATCGATAATTTGAAGCTTATTTTCGTGTATTTCACTTGTTATTTTAATATTCGTTTTTTAATTAACCCAGCGCACATAATGGTTGTCCACTGTTATTAATTGTTTATATAAAGACTGAAAATTGAGAAAATATCTTCAAGGTGTTTAATATGTTGAAATGAAGTAAACGTATATTGACGTACAATACGTTAAATGAGTTTTAATTATGTTTTGCTAAACTCATTGTTACCATACCACAGACATATAATACTACTATACACACACACGTGTGTATGTGTGCAGAGTATGTATGTCATCACATATCACTACTGTACTGTAGGTTAATCAAGGTGAAGTCTCTCAACTACGAAAAGGATTACGTCTACCCCTAAAAAAACTCTCTTTTCTGGGGGATAAAACTTCAATTTGTTAATAAATCCCGAAGATAACATTTTATTAACCTCTGGGTAATTTTTAACTTCTTCGTTTTATGGAAAGTAATTGAAGGTGTTTCTTACAATACGTTGCAGTTTCATGCTGCTTTGCGAGAAGTTCGATACTTGAAACTTGCTGGAAAAACAGGAATTCCACCGCAAGCAGAACAACTCTTCCAGCGTGAGGATGATTTCAGAAACTGGATTCACCATCTTCACAGAATTATATATTGGTCAGTAAATAATCAAGTGTAAATTGGGGATACACATACTACGAACCATTAGAACCATAATTGGAAATAAGGAAATGGATTAAATTTGAGGTTTGAAATTATAAATTAAGGAAAATTAAATAGCATGAAAACATAACGTAACATCGGGGTGCGTGATGCTGGCGTATGGAAATGTTAATAAATCTCATGAACTGAGCTTTTTAAAATACAGAATGAAGTTCTTTTGTCTTGTCTGGACACAAACAAAATTGTATTAACTCTTTTAATTACTGAACATTGAGAACAGTATAATACATGTAAAGGGGCAGTGTTGTTACAAATTTATGAGTTTGTCTTGGTCAGGTCAGAATAGTTCGCCCTTGCATTCTGGGATATCTGTAACTAGTAAATATTTTATTTGTTTACATGGCAGTAAGTATTAAATATTGTTGTAGTGTAAATATTGATAGTTAAGCTCCAATCTATTGACACATCAGAACCCAGAATAAATCTGAAAAAAGGAGAGTTTGGCTTTCCAGAATGCATTAATGAGTGGGCCTCCTTCAACTGCGAGGGGACGGGAGCTTTGGCCAATTTGAAAAGTGTCTTTTTCAATGGATTTAACATAAAATTGGCACACTGTTTGAATCGCATAAC